CATTTTAGCACTTTTTGGTGAATCTGTTACTAGTCTTCTTCATGAAATGTTTGTAACTGAATGTTTGCCTTGTGTACAGTACAATCACAGTGCTGTGCTCACTTCAGCAGCACATATACAATCACAGCGCATATTCCACTTATGTGGTAATAAAACTGAGTGACCATTTAATTGGAAACCCTAAAAAGTGAAACTTACTTTTCCTAAAACTTTCACTTTTAGTTGCTTTGAACAAAGGTTGAGATTTCTTTTCTGTAAGTAATAGTGTGAAGTTGTCAACCTAAATCAGAGGGCAGTTCAAAGGAACACTGCTGCAGGTGAGGCTTGGAACCTCACTAGTGTCTTACAGAATCCCCATTAAGTTACTAGGTGTTGGGCAAGATGTTATGTTCTGTAGAAGCTACATAGATCATACAACTTACAGACCTCTGCACTGGCATGTTTTCCTATATATATTCCTCCAGTATCAGACAGACTCTTGAGCAGAGGACTTTATACTAAAATCTCACTTTTTCCAGTGGAATCTATTTATCTTTTCTCCAGAAACAACTTTGTAGTCATAAGTTTGTACTTATAGAATTTATCACACATCTAAGATGGCGGTATCTGTGGGCGAAGAATGAAAATAAATGAGCCTGTGTAGCAAGCAAGCCCCATGTGGCTGATGGAGTTGAGTGTGAAACCAGGGTTTAGTAGGAGAATTCCCTGCAAAGGTTTACTTCCAGAACTCTGAGACTATGCCAATTTTTAGTGTGAAGACTGTTTACAAATGTACCATTTGCACTACCTTTTTATATTTAACATTTTTTGAGTTAAATTATTGCCTTGAGTCTTCTTGTTCTTTGAAGAAGCCTCAGTTCCACATAACAGGAGCAGTAAAATATATAACCATAATATACCTGGACAGTGTCGAACTCTTTGAAGCATTTATAGGAGGCAGTGAGGGCATGAAATATAGCAGGCACACTCTCTGGGGATGCTAAGAAGGTTTTCATAAATAATTTAAATAGACCTAGTGATCTTGCTTTTATTTCCTTGGTATCCATAATTGGGCGATCATCTGACAAAGTGGTTTCCAGAGTATAGGTATGCTGTTTGTCTCAAATGAGGTGGTAATATAGACTGGAAACACTATCTTGGGCACCCTCTCTCAAACAAAAAGGAGCAAAGTAGATCAAAGGCAAGATTCGGAAAGGGAAATTAAGAACTGTATACGAGATAGAATGTAATTAAATACTGGTTGAAAGGATAGAGAAGTTACCATAGAGTAAAAAGGAGACACCAGAAACAATCTTAGAGATGGACCTTCAAAGAAGGATGAAGCTTTACATAGAAGATAGGAGGAATGGGTAAGAGGAAGAGGGATTTTGTGGTGTTCAGGAGTGAGGAATGACACAGGCAAAGGGCAGTACCATCAAAGGGAGGACCAGAGCATGCTCAGTTGGTCCATTTGGTTGAAGCTGAGAAGAGGAAGAAGATGCCTGGCTTGAATCCATTTGGAGTAGAATTTTGATGCCTTGCTAAGGAATTTGTAGAATCAAAGGTGGTTATGTGGTTAGAAAAATTATTTGGACTGGATTAGCTTCAGGCTGGACTAGAAAAATGATTTGAGCTGGGTGTGGTGGCACACACCTGTAATCCCAGCACTTGGTCGGCTGAGGCAGGAGGATCTCCATGAGTTAGAGGCCAGCCTGAATTACGTAGTGAAACCCTGTCTCAATAAAGTAAAAAAAAAAAAGAGAAGAAAAGAAAAATGATTTTACTGTATTAACTCCAGGCCATAATGAGAGCCTGTTGGGCCAGAAAGTACCAATGGGAGGTGGGGTGCACTGCAATACGTTGATGTCTGTGGAAGTGGAAGGTGGTGGTAAAGAGCAATGTCAAATCATGATCTTACTTATTCTTACTAGGATGTGGTGACTAACTGATCACAAACATGGAAACTCAGTCTCTTTAAAACCTGCCCTCGCTGTGACTCTTCAGAGATAGTGAAATATAACAATTGAATTCTTCAGTTTCCTTAATATAAATTTTTATCTGAATGGAAGAACTGTTTGCAGCTCTGAATTGATTAATGTGTTCTTCTGAGTCCTATTCTAAAGATAATGAGACTTCAATAAAAAACACACAATCTTGGATAGCAGAGTTGAGCCATTTGTCTTATCTGAATTTTGGAGCTGCTCGAACTTCCTGTTGGGTTTGGTCATTTAAAAAAACCCAAAAACAGGCTGAGAGCATAGCTCAGTGGTAGAGTATTTGCCTAATATGTGCAAGGGCCTGGGTTTCATCCCTAGCACCACAAACAAACACAGCCCTAACCTATATGCTGTATGTTTGGATATATGTCTGTGTAGCATGAGGGTGGATTTTCTTTATTATTTTGCATGAAATCAACAACACCATTAGAGGATTGTCGGTAAACCAGATTTTCATCCTGAAGGATGTTTTATAGAAAGGGATACCTGTTTAGCTGACCCCTGTTCCAGAAATCTTCCATATGGATCTGTGGGTATGTGAATTGGGAGTGCTGTGAAAGTCATTGCTGATGGAGTTGGATTTCCACATTTCCTTTTATCATTGCAGCTTGAAATGCGAGTTAAGCAAATACAGTGAGTGGTACCTCAGTTCATGAACTTAATTTGTTCTACAGTTTTGGAAAAGATGATCATGTTTGTGTTTGTGTGGGAAAGATGGTCTTGGTTGTATTTGTCATATGATGCAGTTTGCAAACAAGACAAAATTTTGCCAGACTCTTGTTTCCCAACCAACTTGTTTGCAAACAAAAGCATTCATGAGGGGCCAGGGATTTAGCTCAGTGGTTTCGCCGCCTGCTACACAAGCGCAAGGACCCAAGTTCAATGCCCGGTCACCCCCCCCCCCCAAAAAGTGTTCATGAACCAAGGTGCCACTCTAATTGAAAAAGTTGTGTCATTTAGGTCCTGTTAGAACTAGCAAAAATATCTGAAATCTTCTCTTCTAGCACTGCTGTTGTTAGTAATCACAGGGAACTGCTTTACTGAGTCCACACCAGATTTGATACCATCACAGTTACATTTTAGATGTACTTGAATTGCTTTTGTTTCAGCTAATAGTGTTAGGTACTTCCTGAGAGACAACAATGAAACAAAACAGGTGGCTAAGGATAATTAGAATTTGAATTTAACTCTCACTTTTTGCTTCCTTCATGTCTTAGTTACTTTTTCCTTGTTGCTGAGACAAAATACCCAACACCCAAAATTAAAGGAGAAAAGGTTTGTTTAGCTCAGTGTTTAGAGGTTTTAGTCCATGATCGGCCAGCTCCAAGGCACAGTGGTTTGCAGACAAGCCTTGCAGAGGAGAAACAGTTTGTGGCAGCCAGAAGGTAGCAAAAGCAAAAGGGGCCTTAACAGTGTCTTTCTGCCCCTTTTATCCAGACTACTTAGGGCATGTAGCATTCATATCCTTAATCCTAGTGCCCTTGAGCCTAGCACTGCACCATGAATTAATTCTCGTATCACACGCTCTAGATCCAGCCACCTCTGAAAAAGCCTCACCAAAGACTGCATAAGGCTTTGAGGGGGACATCTAAACACAAGCCATAACACTTCATAAAGATGAACAGGAAAGGAGTGGTTAACACTGAGAATAAATACATCAGCTGATTTACCAAGGTATTGCTCTTAGAACACATTTTTGCTCTCTTAGGTTGTTTCCAGCTGTTAATAGGGTACCATCTCAAGTTTAGATGGAGAATATCCCAGTCCTGTGTTTGCTCTTTAGTGATTTTATTTCTTCGATTAATGGTTTGAGTTGTTAAATGAATTGGAGAGCAAAACAGCACTGTTATCTTGTCATGTTTTTCTTGCCTCAGTGTTGTGCTGTCTGTAGGCATTTAGCAAAACAAGCTTATGCGTGTTTTTAAATGGCCCTCTGTAATGGAAGGCAACCTCTCAGCATGTAAATGAAACTGAATTATATGTTCTTTACACCCTGGCAAAAATCACATATTTAGAATTTTTAACTTGAGAATTGCGCAAAGTATGGTCAGCCCATACTGGAAGCAGCAGTTCTTTAGCTTTGTGGCATAATATGCTTGTTAATATGCCTGACCATTCTAGACTTAGTAGAGTTGCTATAATACCAGGTTTCATTAGTTTTCTGATCATATTCTACTGAAAGCCAAATGTTTTTCCTTTACTTAATTTATCCAGAGTTATTATCCATATATTAGAGGCATTTTAATTTTGAAAAATAATTAGTGAGGACTGAGACACATTTCTGAGTGTTGTATTTAAATACATGAGCAGCAGCTGTGATCCACCCAGGATTGATGGGTATTTGGATTTGGAGAAGCTATTACTCTCCACTGTACCTGTACCCTCTTTGGCATTTTTAGGAGTTTTTGTCTTACAAGATAATATAAAACTTGCCAGGGATTTAGCTCAATGGCACTGTGCCTGACTCAAAAGCACAAGGTCCTGAGTTTGAAAAAAAAAAAAGATATTATAAAACTTGTATATGGAGAAGATAACTGGAAATTTATCAAATACTGATGGTTTTGAATATTCAGAAGTCCTTTATGGATTTTGAAAGGAAAAAAATGAAAGTTAAGGAAATGTATCTGAATGTTCTGCTTTTGTTGTTGTTTTTCTCATTGTTTGGCTAATTATTATGCATGTGTAGCCAACAAAATGGCATTTAGATAGCTCTGCATGCCAATTAAAACATGGATTTTGGGGCCAGGGATTTAGCTCAGTGGCACCGCACCTGCCTTGCAAGGACAAGGTCCAGTGTTTGATTCATGGTACTGGGAAAAAAAAACAACAGAGATTTTGTGTTAAAAATTTTAGTGTACCCAGTTCTTATTAGTTCCTTCCCCAGACTAGTTTATTTTAAATTAATGCATGTTATTAAACTCAAGATTAGCAAAGTTAAAAGGGTAAGTAACAGAGACTTACAGAATATTCACAGTGGGAGGACAGAATTCTCAATTGAATTTTGCTTTGTACTTGGGCTTGCAGGAGTTGTGGAGGTGCTTTAGTGAAGAAATGGAACAATGTGTGTAATGATGGAATCTCCTTGCTAACCATCACCACCTGCTCTCCTTGATAAGTGAGCAAGAGATTGGGTCAGGGGAGAAGGAAAAGAAGTCAACATGAAGCTAAAGCAGCGAGTTGTGCTGTTAGCAATACTCCTTGTCATCTTTATCTTCACCAAAGTTTTCCTGATTGACAACTTAGATACATCAGCTGCCAACCGGGAGGACCAGAGGGCTTTTCACCGAATGATGACAGGCTTGCGAGTAGAGCTGGCACCCAAGCTGGACCACACCTTGCAGTCTCCTTGGGAGATTGCAGCCCAATGGGTGGTGCCCCGGGAAGTGTACCCTGAAGAGACCCCAGAGCTGGGGGCAATCATGCATGCCATGGCCACCAAGAAAATCATTAAAGCTGATGTGGGTTATAAAGGGACGCAGTTGAAAGCCTTACTGATACTTGAAGGAGGTCAGAAAGTTGTCTTCAAACCTAAGCGGTAAGTCTTCATTGCAGAAGCTGTAAGTGCTAGTTGGCTGGTTAATTTACTTGGGGTTTATGTAAGATTGTTTATCTCCTTTTCTTGGTATTATTCTTTTCAGTAAAATGAAAGGTAGACTGGAAGACCTACTTACTTTCCTAGTTCTGAAAGTATTACAAGTCTTTGAGAAGAAAAAATTTATAGAACCTGTTTTGCTTCCTTAGAAAGACTGAATTTTTTTTTTTTAATGTACCAGGGATCAAACTCAGGCCCTTGCACTTGTGAGACAGTTGGCAGCACCACTGAGCTAAATCCCCAGCCCTGAAGACAGAATTTTTTGACAATTAGACCTATTCTTGATTTCTAATTTATCAGATATCTATTATATGTCACATATAAGTATAAAATTAATTGCTTAGGAAATAAACAACTTATCACCAAAAAAAAACCATGTGCAGCTAACTATTAGATAGGTACATTTCAGGGATACTATAGAGATGGACTAGATTCTGGATGGGTGACTAAAGTCCCTTTCAGTGGTGAAGCACAGATTCTTGATTCTCTCACCTATTTTTGTTTGATAAGTTTTAGGTTCACAGAAAAATTGAGAGAATACAGAGAATTCCTATTAATTGCCTTCCCACTAAATTTCTCCTGTCAACATCTTCTATTAGTGTAATTCATTTGGTATAATTGTTGATAATTGATTAATTATTAACTAAAGTTTAGTTTGTGTTAGGGTTTACTCTTTGTGTTGTCCATACTATGCGTTTTGACAAATGTATAAAAACATGTGCCCATCACTATAATACCATATAGAATAGTATTCTTGCTTTCAAAATCCTTTGTGCTTCACCTTGTCATTCTTACTGCTAAACCCTTAGTAACCATTGTCTTTATGCTTTTGCTTTTTCCAGTGTAATATACTTGGAATTATAGCATACAGTGTATAGCCTTTTTCATTGGCATCTAGCACTTAGAAATATGCATGGAAGGTTCCTGCATATCTTTTTGTAGCTTGGTAGCTCATTTCTTTTTGTGGCTGAATAATATTCCCTTGTGTGGATATATCACAATTTATCTACTCACCTATTGAAGGACATCTTGTTTGCTTCCAAGTTTTGGCAGTTGTGAATAAAAGCTGCTATAAATATCCATATGCAAATTTTTGTGTGAATTTAAGTTTTCACTTTATTGGAATAAATATCAAGAAACATGATTGCTGCAACATATGGTTAAAGTATGTTTAGTTTTGTTAAAAACTGTCTTCCAAAGTGGTTTGGATTCTACCTGCAAGAAATGAGTTTGTTAGGCCACATCCCCACCAGGATTTGATGTTGTCGATGTTTTGGATTAGAGTCATTTTAAGGAATATCTCATTGTTTCTTAACCTGTTTTAAGCAAAGAAGTAGGCCATGTTAGTTGCCTCAGTAACTGGTGTATATATTATAGTAACTCTTTGGGACTTCTCTGGAGATCTACAGAGATCGCTTATGTGGCAATACTACGGTATAATTAATTTTCTAAAAAAGTTTTCTATGATTATTCCAGTTCTCAAAGTTTGTGCACTAAACATGTTTTCATCTCTTGGTAAACTTGAGAGAATTATGCCTTAGGTTTCTTGCTAGTGTGAGGAAAGAAATATAGGGAAAAGATGTATAAAATTCAACTCCCTTTTCTGCCCAACTATCAGTAGATAAAAGGCAACTAGACCATGAATCTGTTTGGGATTCTGTTTGGGAACCAGTGTTTGTTTGCCTGGAACTGGGAAGTAAGATGTATGGAAGATATGGAAATTAGGTAAGCTTAAAATGCAGTAGACTTTTGGAGAATAGAAAAGTCATCCTGATTGGCTTTTGGTAATGTGGAAAAAGTATGGTTATGTGAGCCTTGGGATCTAACTTCTGTTGAATCCACACCATTTGCCGGGTATTTCATTATGTACTTTAGCATGTGTTAATGTTTTTAATCTTTAGGGCAACTTCAGTTCTTATTTCCAGAATAAGAAACTGAGGCTTAGAGTAACTACCTTGCCAAGGTCACCTCACAGTAATGAGTGGACCTGGGGTTTGAAACCAGATCTGTCAGAGTTGTAAGCAGCTTGTATTCTGGCATATACATGGAATTCTCTTAAATTTCTTTGTTTGCCTTCCTCTAAGTGAGATGATGTGGAACACCCATCATTAAAAATCACTAATTTAGTTTTGAAATTAGCAACATGAGCAAAGTGATAGAAGGCAAAACAAAAATAAAAATTAAATTTATAGAGAAAGAGATGAGTCATAAGTGTTTTGTTTAAACAAAAAGAATTCCTCTGAACACCCACTACTTGTATACTGGAGAATTAAGGGTGAAATGGGAAGTGTTAGAAGACAGAGATTGCTATCAGGGTGCAGTGTAGACCAGGTGCGTTGCAGGCAGGCCTGAAATGTTCAGGGGAGGTATAAGTGGAGGGAGGAGAATCCAGATTGATGAGTAGGAAGGAGGCAACAGAGAAATCAGCCAACTCTAGTTCTTACTTGACTTACCTCATATCTCTTACTACCCTGAAGCCATTCCATTATCTTCCTTTCTCTTTCTCTTTCTCTTTCTTTCTCTTTCTCTTTCTCTTTCTCTCTCTTTCTCTCTCTCTCTCTCTCTTTCTCTTTTCTTTCTTTCTCTCTTTCTTTCTTCTTCTTTTTTTGTTTGTTTTTTTGAGACAGGGTCTTGCTACATAGTTCAGGCTGGCCTTGAACTCATTGTGTAGTTCAGGCTGGCCTCAAATTTGCTGCAATCCTCCTGCCTCAGCCTATGGAGTGCTGGGATTACAGGCATGTGCCACCATGCCTGGCTTATTACGTTTCTTTTCATATCATGTTTTAGCATTGGAAATCTGACTATTACTAGTTGAACTGCTTTTCTTCACTCATATTAATCACTCTACCCACCAAACAAAACCCAGCCTCCACAGCCTAATGATCAAGAACCCCACCATCTAGTACACTTCTCCACATTGGGCCTTAGTCTCCCTTCACTCTTTTTTCCTGTCAAACTGGGCCCTATCCTCCCCCACTTCTGCTGAACAGTTCATGCCTACTCCCAGGGGCAGGATAGCTTCCTTGCCCACCCAGCAAGGTGTGTGAGCTTCTGCAGAAGGTGTTAACTAACGTGCACTGTGCATGCTGACCTATGTTGCTTTACACCAGATACCCACAGGCTGAGGAAGGTGGGGGTGTAGGTTTAAGTATTTGTACAAATTAACTCAAATCCCTAAACATCCAGCAAAATACTGTTCTGACCCCCAGGGCCTCATAAGATATTCAGTGCTGCTCTTAAGTGCAAATTAATGTCCTTGCTCAGACTCTGATGTCCTTCACTAGAAGGATAGGAGTGATTAATTGGCAGTTACTTTAGGAATTCTGTCAGTGTCTTAAGATGGATCACTCTGCTGAAAGGAGGATGTAAGTTCTCACAGCTAAATCAAGATATGCACCTTTTTTGTTTTAATAGTGACTGTGGTTTCAGCATTTCTGCAGCCTGGTTGTCCATGTCCTACTATGAGGTAGAAGATACATATGGTTAGATGGCATGTAAAGTAATGTAGTGATATTTTTATTTATGCACTTTTCCTTACATTATAAAAAGTATTTGTTTGCTCTCTCTCTGTTGCTATATCCATTCCGGAAGTAAATTGATTTTTACAGTCCAAATCTGAAGTTATGGTGGAAAAGGAACAAGGCAGAGGCCTAGGATTGGATAGAAGTTAATGAATAATCTTAAGACATGCTGAAAAGGACCTTGCAGATCAGCTAGTCCAACTATTCATTTTATAGGTGAGGAAAGTAAGATACACAATTCTAAATTTCCATATTCCAGCATATGAGCTATGGATTCACCTCCAAACTCCAATGCTATTTTTTCATTTTGATTCTTAGTCCTTTCCATTTTCCTTCCCATCCTCTCCCATCTACTCCCAAAGTTCCTGGATTCTTCTAGGGTTTTACATTTCATTATGAATGTATGCTAAACCTCTCTGATATTTCACTGAATGGAGGGTACACACTCATCACATATCTTCCTGTGACTTACTGGCATCCTAATACATATTCTAGGACATTCCTATCTTCACAGACAAACTAAACCTCTATTTAAAAAGTGTTTGTATGTCATCAGCTTTTACTGCAGTGATATTTAAAAATTGACTTTTAATTTAGAGGCAACCAATATAACCTTGGGAGCCTAAATAATTATTTGCACTAGGAACAACAATAAAAATGGCAGGTGTAGTGGCACACACACCTGTAATCCCAGTATTCAGGAGATTGAGGCAGGAGGATTGCTATGAGTTTGAGGCCAGTCTGAGCTACATAGTGAGTTCAAGGCCAGCCTGTACTACATAATGAGACCCTCTGCAAAAGCCAAACCAAACCATGATATTTAGACCATGCTAATGAGAAACTAGTGTCCACCCATATAGATGGTGATACATAGCTGCCTTTTAACATGAATGTTTTACTTTGCTTTGAAGGTATGTTGTGGAGACATTTTTCATTTGTATTCGAAGATGATTTAAATGGAAGATCATTGGCTTTTATACTACCATTTCCAATTCCCCACAGCTGTTTTTTTTTTTTTTTCTGGTACTAGGGATCAAACTCAGGACCTTACACCCTAAAGCTGTTTTAGCACTGGAAATCTGACTGTCCATAGTGGAACTGCTCTTCTTCATTTCAATCTCAACTTATTTCACAGTTCCTTTGTAAGCCTAATAGATCTCCCTTTGATTCAGGAATGCAGGTGCACAGTAGAAGTCATAAGTGAATTAAATATTTTTTCTTTATAAATAACAGGTTTAAATTATAACTTTAAAAGTGATCAGTAGTGCCAGGTGTGGTGGTGCACACCTGTAATCCCAGCATTCAGGAGGATGAGGCAAGAGGATTGCTAAAAGTTTTGAAGCCAGCCTGGGCTACATACTGAGTTCAAGGCCAACCTGAACTGGATAGCGAGACCCTGTCTCCAACAAAACAAAACAAAACAAAATAAAACAAAAAAGTGATTAGTAGAAAGAAATATACTAGTTTTCATTAGTCTTTGTTTATGTCACACATACGGTATAAAATCATCTGAATGCAGTTTAAGATGAAAGAGACCTTGGAAATACCTCCTAGTCCAGTTCTTAATATTATGGATATGGAATCTGACACCAAGAAAAGAAGAGTTTGCTCAGAGTTACCCACACAGATAATGAGAACCACACCCAGCTCTCACTGCTAGTCCAGTTTTTCTTCCTCTACATCATCATAAACTTAAGAAGCAAGAAAAAGAATATTATTCAAACTTCTTTTTTCCAAAAGCACCTTTGCCTTCTCATTAAAAAAAAAAAATGAGGAATATCAGGACTATTTTTCCCAAGAAATTTAAACTTCTTTTATAAGCCTTACCACAGCCATTCTGGTAAGCAAAAGTTCTTTTGTTTCTTCAGTTCAGTCTAATACACATTTTAGTAGACATTTATTAAGCACTGACTCTAAGTTTTAACATTGTGCTAGTGATACAAAGGTGCTTCTTGCCTTCCAGAAAATTACCTTGTAGTTGTACTTAAACCACATTGAAAGCCCTTTAGAGTGGTAAAAATAGCATCTTCTATGTTTTATTCATAGAATAATTGCTGAGGCAGATATAGAATTCTAGTTTCCTTTTCTACCTCATCTTCCCACCATCTAGCAGCAATTTGGCTAACCCACAACTGTTCTCAGGGTGTATATGGAACAGACTCAACTCAGGCCTGCTAAAGTGTGTACTCTGCCTCCTTTGCTGTCTGCCCAGTACCAGTGTGATTCATGTCTACACCTGTGCTTCCCCTTCCCTTTGCTAGGTATAGCCGAGACTATGTGGTGGAAGGGGAGCCATATGCTGGTTATGATAGACACAATGCAGAGGTGGCAGCCTTTCACTTGGACAGGTAAGTATAATCCTAATAGTCTTTGTCCACTTGGTTGCCTTTTAAAATCGACCTCAGTCTCTCTCTTCCTCTCTGTCTCTGTCTCTGTCTCTGTCTCTTTCCAAGTACTGGGATTGATCCCAGGGCCTTGTACATGCCAGACAAGCATTCTGTTGCTGAACTACATCCCCAACCCTTTTAAAAAATGTATTTTGAGGGCTGGGGATTTAGCTCGTGCCTGCCTCACAAGCGCAAGGTCCCGAGTTTAATCCCCGGTACCAAAAAAAAAAAAAATGTATTTTGAGACAGTCTTGCTAAGTTGCACAGCCTGGTAATCCTCCTCCCTCAGCCTCCTTAACAACTAGGGTTATAGGCATGCACCATGATGCCAGGCAAAAATCTCTCAAAGAAGTCAAAGAGGGCACACTAATAAGTTGGACTTGTTACCTATTTTGGATAGCTTACTAGTTCTGTTACATTTATATGAGTCCCTCGTAATTTGGGTGACACTAGGAATAACAAAGTAAATATTTTAACTTCAGACTTACCTTTATTTCATTTCATTACTGGCATGTTTTTTATCATCCTGACTGAAGATATTCTTGCTAAATAAAATGGCAGGATGAAAAGCAAAGTTTGAACTCATATCCCTGAATTGAATTGATCATTAATTGGGAATTGGCAGTCCTGTTGTTTGTTTTGTTGTGATACTGATATCCCCATACACTGGAAACATCTAGCCTGAAATATATAATGAGTTTTATTGTTCTTTATATAAATTTTTCACAGGTTCCAAAACCAGAGTAATTTTACATATCGGTCAGCCTTCGCATTGCTGGGACAAATGTCTGGTATACACAGTTTAAAAGAGGAAAGTTTATTTGTCTCACGGTTTCAGAGGTTTCAGTCCATGGTAGCCTGGTTCTGTTCTGTGGGTCTGAGGTGAGGCAGAATATCATGGTGGAAGGGTGTGGCGGAGCAAAGTTGCTCACTTCATAGCACCTGGGAAGCAGAGCAGGTTGGAAAGAGCCCAGAGAAGAAAGCGCTAGGAGCCAGATATAATAGTTTCCAAGGTCATGCCCTCATGACCGACCCAGACACACTCAGAGGTATGTTTTACTGATCTGTAAACATCTCTTAATCCAGTCAAGTTGATAATCATGATTAATAATCACATTCCAAAAGAAAAGTAGATATGAATTTAATTTATAACTAGAAAAATTATTTTTTGAGACAAAGTTTCACTGTGTAGTTCAGGCTGGCCTTGAACCCACTTTGTAGCCCAGTCTGACTTCAAACTCATGGCAGTCCTCCTCCTTCAGCCTCCTGAGTTCTGGGATTACAGGTGTGTGCCATCACACCCAACATGAAAAATTAATATGTTTTATTAGCAGATTGTTAGTCAGAAACCTCTTAACTGAATTGTCTGATATTCCAGTTACTCTTTTCACCAATTCTTTCAGACTGGTATATTGACAGACTTTAAAAGAAATTATTTACAATATTTGCTTTAAAAATGAATCTATTCTTAGGAGTCTGAGGCAGGAGGATCTTCAGGAGTTTGAAGCCTGTCAGGGGCTACATAGTGAGTTCAAGGCCAACCTGAACTACACAGTGAGACCCTGCCTCAAAAAAAAAAAGAAATCTGTAAGGATGCCAGGAGAGGGAAGATGAATTTTTTTGTCTTTTTCTGCATTAGGAAGAATTTTCTACATGTTGATACAATCTATATGCAGTAGAACTCTCATAGAAAGTGGGTCAAGAACACAGGCCATTAAAAATAAGCAGCAAGGGCTGGGGATTTAGCTCAGTGGTTCTGCTGCCGGCCTCAAAAGCGCAAGGTCCTGAGTTCCATCCCTGGTACCAAAAAAAAAGAACCAAGATACATCATGTAACGGTACAAGATCCCAATGATGAATGTAACTGTATTGTATACCTAAAATGTACCAATAAACTTAATTCAAAAAAATAAAAAAGAACACAGGCAGTTAGCTGAATAGGAATCACCTGTTGCTAATAAAAATGGGATAAATAAAGTTTATCCTCACTAGAAAATGTTTAAAATTTACTTAAACTATAGGTTTACTATTTTCACCTGCCAAAAATAGCAAAGATTTTTTTTAAAAGAGGATAATACTTTATTGGCACTATATTGAGATTCATATTCTGCTTTTGGCATTGTTAATTTCAATCTATTAAGAACTCTGGCATTTTGTATCAAAAATAATGTCGATTTTGTTTGAATGAATAACTGTTTTTATGTACATATTTAAGATACTTCTAGGAAGATGTTTCTAGGAAATACCCCAGGTGGTAATAAATTTAAAAAATATATATATATACTCCTTTCTTCACTGTAGTACTTTGTGGTCGTGAAAAACTGATAGCAACCTCAATATCTACAGATGTAGAAAAAGTTAAATGTTTATAATAACATGAGTTTTTGCTGCCTCTTTTAAAACCCAGGGGCAGAAAGTTGGATAAATGCTACTGTTCACTTAATGCACACTAGAATCAGGCTATCCAAGACATTATTTATTATTTGCCTGATTTCTTTACTCTCCAGCCTCTTCTTGCTTTCAATTTGTTGGGCATCAGCAAGCCGTAAAGACCCTCTTTTCCCCATTTCTGGACCCGTATTTTCGTATTACCTGATGTAGTAATTTTTGTTAATTTAATGTATGGTAAATAGTATCTCATTTTTATTTCCCCAGTAACTGACAAAGTTTATCTTTTCACAGCATCTCTAACTGTTGAATAAAGTATTCTTTGTTTTAAAAAATGGTTAGTTTTAGGGCCAGGGGTTTAGCTCCGTGGTACCGGTGCCTGCCTCTCAAGTGCAAGGTCCCGAGTTTGATCCCTGCTACCAAAAAAACCAAACAAACAAACAAACAAAAAAAATGGTTTCTTTTGATGTTAATTGAATGTGAGGTTTCAACTTATGACTTATGCTGTAAGTGCCTTACATTTAAAAGCTTTTCCATACCTCAAAGCCAGATGCTTCCTGGTCAACCCCCTACTTCTTTTGTTAACTGTTGTCACCTAGCCAACTTCCAAGTGGCACTGTGATACTGCTCTTTATCACTAAATTGGCTTCTGTTTTTTGGCCTGCACTGCTCAGTGAGGAGAAAGAATATTTCCCACACACCCCTGTGTCCCTGCTCCCCATTGCTTCTGCCTTGGGTTTGCTCTTTCTTCACCACACACAGATTTAGCCACTTTCTCTTGCCTCAGGGGTTTCTCTCAATTTTTATGTTATTTTGACAAATCTGTTTGACAAATCTTGCTTTTGTGCCTTTTCTAAGATTAGATTTAGGATAGAATCAGCAGCCCTAAACAGTGGTTTATTATAATGTAGCCATTTTTTTAAAGTTTCTAATGACATCGGGAAAGGTTCATGAATACAATGATGAGTAAACAGCAGGATACAACACTGCATACAATATAAGCTCAACTGTATGTATATACATAAGTATATGTTTATGTATACATGTAAAGAAAAAAGGCTTATGTACCAAAATGTCAGTAGTTATGTGTGTAGAATTATGGATGATCTTTGTTTTCTTCATTATCAATTTTCTGTGTGTTCCAAATTCTACTCATCTTACTTTTCTTCATAGATTATGTGTATTTCAGCCAGGAAATTTCTCTTACAGAAAAAAGATTGTTTTTAGTCATAAGACTGTTTTCAGACCATCAGAGAGAGGGACCTTCAAATGAGTCTCTAAGTTGTCCTGTGGGTTTGTCCTTTTAGGACAATTTGTATAATGTTCATCTGCAAAGCTTTGAACCCATTATGAGTTCAAGCCTAATTTTTTTTCTAATGCTTTATTAAAATTTATTTTTAAAAAACCCATATACTCCATAGATTTAACAGTTATTCACATTTTGCCAGATTTTCCTGATCCTTTTTGCTACATTTTGACATTAAACTCCTAAATATATGTTATCTCTAAGAAAGGAGCTCAGTGGCACTGTGCCTGCCTCGCAAGTGCAAGATCATGAGTTCAATCCCTGGTACCAAAAAAAACCCTCTTACCTTCCAACTTGCAGTACCTTTACACATCTAACATTATTAACCATAATTTTTGAGATTGCTATTTAAAGATACATTCTCAAAAGGTTTGTCTCTTCTTCAATCTTCCAAACCAGGATTCTGGGTTTCCGCCGAGCTCCTTTGGTGGTTGGCAGATTTGTTAATCTACGGACAGAAATCAAGCCTGTTGCCACGGAGCAGCTGTTGAGTACCTTCCTAATCGTAGGTAAGAAGATTATAGAGGACATTTAGATAGACTAGTTAGATTAAATGAGGCACAACTGAGCAAGCTGGTTTATCTTTTAGGACTTAAGGAACTAGAGGGAATGCAAAAGCAAATAGGCATACTGGTCTCTGATTAGTGGGGGAAATGGATTTAGAGGTTGATGGCAGGAAATTGAAAATTTTCTCAGAATATACACACTGTTGTGTCTCTGATGTAGGAAATGAGGTCACTTACTAATAGAAAGGAGATAATAACTTTATTTCCTACACTGAATCTCAAATTCAGAATTTGGCCTAAATCAGTTATTGTCTGCATATCATTGTCTCAGTTATTTTTTCATGTACATGTGTTTTCTTGGGAACTCCATCCTATAACCTGAGAATTTAGGGAATCTTCAGACAACTCTGTAAGGGGATGGTCTCTTATAGTGTTGTATTTGGGCCTGGAAGATCACTGCCTTACTCTACTGCTCTCCAAGGGTTAGCTTATAACTCATTTGCATGTAGCTGGCTATGGTGCATGTGGCCTCACCTTTCTGTTTTTTAACTCTAAGGTAAAGGATTTGAGCTCAAATTTCTATTCATTCCTCTCCACCCTCCCCCCATAACTGTTGGCCTTTTTACTGTCTCCATAATTTTGCCCTTTCCCAGGCGTCCTCCATTTTCATCCCTGCTGCCACAATTGACAGTATTTTATGGCCAAATACTATTCTATTATGTATTTGTACCACATTTTTTTTATCAATTCATCTATTTGTGAATACCTGGGTTGCTTCCTTATTGTGGCTATTGTGAGTAGTGCTGAAATAAATACGGGAGTGCAAAGTTGTCTTTGACATGCTGATTTCCTTTCCTTTGTAGCAGGATTGCTGGATCATATGGTAGTTTTATGTATAGTTTTTAGTTTTTTTGTTTTGGGGGGTTTTGTTTGAGACAGGGTCTTACTATGTAGTAAGACCCTGGCCTTGAACTTACTGTGTAGCCTGGGTTGGCCTCAAACTTGTGATTGCCTATCTCAGCCTCCTGGGTGCTGGATTACAACTGTGCGCCACCATGTCCAGCTTGTATAGTTTTTTTTTTAATCCCATTTCCTCCCTCCCCTCCCTGTGTACAAAAGCTTTGTTTTCATTTTTTCCTTCTATTTTCACATTTTTTTCCTTGTCCCTTCCTTCCTCCCTCCTCCCTCATTCCCCTTCCCATTTGAACATTTTCTTCCCATTCCCCAATATCTATTATACATTTTAGTCCTTATTTCCACTTTCATTTTCTCACTCCAGAGAAACAATATGGTATTTAAACATGTGTGTCTGATTTATTTCACTTAAGAGTATGGTCTCAAGGTCTATCCATTTAGCTATAAATGTCTGAAGTTCATCCTTTATGGCAGAGTAGTACTCCATTGTATAAAAAAAACCCACCTCTTCCTTATCCATTCATCAGTCTGTGGGCATTTGGGCTATTTCCAAGATTTAGCTATTACAAACTGTGCTGCCATAAACATGGGTGCACATTTATCTCTGTGGTAGGATGCTTTTAATTCTTTGGGGAAGAAACCAAGAAGGGGAATAGCTGGGTCAAATGGAACCTCTAGTTTTAGTTTTTTGAGAAATCTCCATACTGATTTCCACAGTGGTTGCACCAGTCTACACTCCCACCAACAGTGGAGCAGGGTTCCTTTTTCCCCACAGCCCCGCCAGCATTTGTTATTGGTTGATTTCTTGATAGCAGCCATTCTTTCTGGAGTGAAGTGGAATCTCAGTGTTGTTTTAATTCCCATTTCACGAATAACCAGTGATGTTAAACATTTTTTCATATATTTATTTGCCGTTTCTACTTCTTTGAGAAATGTCCGTTTATTTCAGATGCCCATTTTTGGATTGGGTCTTTAAATTTGGGGGATCTGATTTTTTTGAGTTCTTTATATATTCTAGATAATAGTTCTTTATCTGAATAGCTGGTAAAATTTTTTTCCCACATTATGGGTTGTCTCTTCACTCTGTTGGTGATTTCTTTTGCTGTGCAAAAGCTTTTTAATAAGATGAGGTTTTAATATCTAAATCCTTGATCCATTTTGATTTTAGGTTAGTGCGTGGTGAAAGATATGGATCTAGGCCAGAGATTTAGCTTAGTGGTTCAGCTGCCGGCCTCACAAGCACAAGGTCCCGAGTTCGATCCCCAGTACAAAAAAAAAGAGAAAGATATGGATCTAATTTTAATCTTCAGCATGTGGAAAGCCAATTTTTCTGGCACCATTTATTAAAGAAGCTATATTACTTCCAGTGTAGGTGTTTGGCTCCTTTGTCAAAGATGAGGTGGCTGAGTATGTCTGGAGTTGTTTCTGTATCCTCTAGTCTGTTCCATTGATCCTTTTCTTTTCCAGTACCATGCTGTGTTTATCACTGTAGCTCTGTAGTATAATTTAAAGTCAGGGATTGTGATACCTCCTACCTTGCCTTTGTTGCCCAGAACTGCCTTTGCTATTCTAGGTCTCTTCTGATTCCAAATGAATTTTAGGATTGTTTTTCTAATTTTGTAAGATATCCAGCGTATATAGTTTTTTGAGGAACCTCCATACTGTTTTCCATAATGGCTGTACTAATTTACATTTCCACCAACAGTGCATAAGAATTTCCCTTTCTCCACATCTTTGCCAGCACATTTTTTTGTTTGTTTTTGTTTTTATCTTTCTGATGATAAATACTCTTAACTGGGTTTATATGGTACCTCATTGCGTTTGTTTTGTTTTTGAGACATAGTCTTGCCATATAGTTCAGGCTGGTCTTGAATTCATTATATAGTCCATGTTAGCCTCAAATTCACAGCAGTCCTCCTGCCTCAGCCTCCTGAGTGCTGGGATTATAGGTCTGCACCACCACAGCCTGGCTCTCCTGTTTTGATTCTCATTTCTCTAATGATTAGTGGTGTTGAGCGGTTTCCATATATTCTTATTGTTTGGCCTACTTTTAAGTCAGGTTAGTTATTTTCATATTGTTGAGTTTTAAGAATTCTTTCTAGAGTTGAGAGTATATAGTTCAGGGGTCATATTTGCCTAACATATGGGAGGCCTTGGGTTCTTTCCCCAACCCCAAAAATAATCCTTTATCAGATGTGTGTTTTGCAGATACTTTTTGCCAATCTATGGCTTGTCTTTTCATTTTTTGACACATTTTTACATGCTGTTAGATAAGTTGGAATAATAATGGCCTATGTGGGAAAGGAAAATAAATGTAAAATATAGTAAGTTCAGGATCTTTATTTTGTCAGTGCCTTTTTACTCAGCTGATCTCTTCTAGAGACCAGCTCTTCTAGATTGTTTGGAAGAGAATTTGGTTTCTTCATTTTTTTTCCCTTAAGTGTATTTGGCTCCTTTCTGTCCTTTAGGAAACAATACTTGTTTCTATGGGAAGTGTTATTACTGCCGAGAAACAGAGCCAGCGTGTGCCGATGGAGACACGATGGAGGGATCTGTCACACTTTGGCTTCCAGATGTATGGCCTCTGCAGAAACATCGACACCCCTGGGGCAGGACTTACCGGGAAGGCAAATTGGCCAGGTAAATGCTCCTCTGAGCCACGACTTAATTCTGCCTGTGCCTGGCCAGGTGCCTGTCCTTAATAGGAGCCAGCTGTGCTGTTCAAGAATTTTAAAAATCCTTGCAGGGTCAGAGCAAACCTGCTAAGTGAGGACTCTTCTCTTTTTTTTAGCACTGCCACTGTGTTAGCTTTCCATCACTGTGACAAGTACCTGAGATAAATCAACTTAAAAAGAGGAAAGACTTATTTTGGCTCACAGTTTCAGAAGTTCAGTTTATGATTTCTTGGCCACAATTGCTCTGGGCCTGTGTTAGCACAGTAAATCCTGGCAGAAGTACATGGTGGAGGAGGCTGCCAGGAAGCAAAAAGAAAATGAGGCCAGGGTCCCATATCTCTTCAAAGACACAACCTTAGTGATCTAACTTCCTTCTACTAGGCCTCACCTCCTAAAGGTCCTACTATCTCCCAGTAGCACCACATGTTGGCAACCAAAATTTCCACACATGGCTTTTAGGGAGGATACTTAAGATCTAAACCATAATATGATGCCTTTGGCCTCCAAAGGTTTATGCACATCTCAGTATACAAAAGGGATTCAGTCCATTTCCAAGAGTCCTCCAGATTTTAACTTCTAGCATAGCTGAAAAGTCCAAATGCAAAGTCTCTGAGACTCATAGCAGACTTTTACCTGTAAGCCCTCAAAAAAATAAAAAAACAAAGCTGGGTGTGGTGGTACATGCCTGCAATCCCAGCACTCAGAAGGCTGAGGCAGGAGAATCACTGCAAGTTCGTGGCCAGCCTGAACTGCTTAGCTAGCAAGACCGCGTCTCAAAAAAAAGGAAAAAAGAAAATAAAAAAGTTGCATACTTCCAAGATAAAATACACAGAGTAAACATAACCTATTCCAAAAGGGAGGAATAGGAAAATAGCAAGGAGAAACTGGACCAAGACAAGACTGAATCCCAGCAGACTTTAAATCATCCAGCTCCCATGTCCATTATTTGGGGAACATGATGGTATTATGTGGGCTCCAAAGGGCTTGGGCTGCCATGCCCCTACAGCTTTGCTGATTCAGCCCACGTAGCCTCTCTTGGGCTGGCCCTCCTTGCTGCCTGCAGCTTTCCTTAGCAGTGTTCCTATTTCTGGCGTCAGTAGCTTCAGCTTCATACATCAGCCTCTCAGGGTCTGCTTGTGAAGAATGCAGTTCTGCCACATACGATCTGGTCCCATGTGCTTTCCTTTGAAATCTCAGTCATAGCCTCCATGACCCTACAACTCTTGTATTCTGCATCCCTGAAAAATAAACATGGATGACACCAAAGTCTGCCACTCACTAAAGCAGTAGTCAGATCCTCTTGGACTAGAGTAGAGGCCCACCGCCGTAGTGAGTGGCCTCTGAGTGCCTTGATGGCTGGACATAAGAGAAGCGGATCCTAGGGAAATGACTTGCTAAGTCTGTTTGAGGGAGGTTCTCTTCTCAAGTGAATAACTTACACTTTTATACCCTTGATTCTGTAATGGGTGGGGTCTCACTAATTCCTGAGATGTTCTCAAGGTATCTTCCCTATTATATTGGAGCAAAGTACCTGGCTTCTTTTAAATTATGCTAATTTCTTCAGCAACTGTATCCTCTTTGGCCTAAATTTTACACATGCTTCTTTTCTGGTCAGATTGCAAGTTTTTCAAATCTTTCTGCTTTGCTTTTTGCTCCCATTTCTTATGGCTAAAAGCAGCAGTCAAAACCCATTCCACTGCCTGAATTCAGTGATGCCTTGAAATTTCCCTGGATAAACCAGTCTACTACCTTTAAACTCAGCCTCCTGCAAAGTCTCAGCATGGAAAAAATGTAGGCAAATTCTTTGCCAGATTGTAACACAGATGCCCTCTAGTCCAGTTCCCAGTAGAGGCCTCATTTCTATTTGAAACCTCATTAGCACAGTCTTTGCTGTCTGCATTTCTGTCAACATTGTGATCTTCTGAGTTCCCACCAGAATCGCCCATTACTCTCTGCTTCAAGAATTCTAGGCTTTCTCTAGTCTGCTTCTCCAAACTTTTCCAAACTTCTGCAGAGCAGTTCCAAAGGCTTCTGAACCACAACATCAGATAATAGTCATAGCAACTATCTCATTCCTGGTACCAATTTTCTGAGTCACCTTTCCATCCATGTAACAGAATCCCTAAGATAAACAACTTAAAAGAAGGAAAGGTTTATTTCCGGCTCATAGTTTCAGAGAATTGTCATAGTTGGTTGGCTCCATTGCTTTTGGACCTGTGGTAAGGCAGAACATCATGGTGGGAAGTGCATTATGAAGTAAGGCTGCTTACCTCATTTGTTTCCTCTGGGAAACAAAGTGATGGAGAGGCTGGGGTCCCAATCACTCTTTTAAGGGCACACTCCCAGTGATCTAACTTCCTTCCACTTGGTCCCACCTCCTAAAGTTCCACCACACCTTGAACACATGGCCTTTGGAGGACATTTAAGATTCAACCCATATTGTGAGAAACCAAAAGTGGAAATAAGGACTGAAATGTATAATGGTTGTTGGGAAATGGGAACAAAGTGTTCAAATGGGAAGGGGAATGGGAGGAAGGAGGGAGAAAGGAAAGGACAAAGAAAAAAGTGAAAATAAAGGAAAAAAATGAAACAAAGCTTCTGTACATAGGGAGGGGAGGGGGCTTGAGGGGGGAATGGTATAAAATAAAATATTTTTTTAAAAAAAGATTCAACCCATAATAGCCACGTACATTGTTGGCACTCAGTAACACTCGTGGTGTTGCTTGCCTCCAGGTGGGAGTATGATGAGAGCTACTGCGATGCTGTGAAGAAAACATCTCCATATGACTCAGGCCCGCGCCTCTTGGACATCATTGACACCTCTGTCTTTGATTACCTGATTGGCAATGCTGACCGCCATCACTATGAGAGCTTTCAAGATGATGAAGGAGCTAGTATGCTCATCCTTCTTGATAATGCCAAAAGGTAGGACCAGCAGGACTCTCTGTCAGTTTCTATATATAAAAGAAGGATATTTTCTAGTGTATCATGTTATGTAGCTCTTTGTTGCTATAACAAATGCCTGAGATAAATCCACATAAAAAGGAAAGATTTATTTTGACTATTTCAGAGATTTCAGTCCATCTTTAGTTGGCTCCATTGCTTTTGGGTCTGTGATGAGGTAAAACACCATAGTGGAGAGCACATGTTAGAGAAGAGCTGCTCCCCCCATGGCAGCTAACAAACACTGAAAGGGAGGGGTGGGGTCCCAGGTTTCCCTTCAAGGGAAAGCCCCCAGTTCCCTAACTTCTATCCAGGCCCCACCATCTAAAGGCTCCACCACTTCCCAGGAGCACTATATGAAGGCAGCCAGGCTTTTAGCATATGAGCCTGAGAGACCATTTCAGACCCAAACTATAGCAGGTATCCTGGAAAACATCCAGAGCACAGTTGATACAGTATGTCCTTTTTCTGCTTGGGGCCTTTGCTATTGGCACCCATCCTTTTCTGCCCATAAGGGATTTTGGGACTTTAAAAAAATGGAAAAGTGGCCCTCTTCACAGACAGCTGGAAGGCAAGTCCTTAATTTGTCACTACCTACATTCTTCTTTCTCAGCTATGATGCCTACAGAGCATCAGATCTGAGAAGTACAGATTTAATAGAAAATAGACTTTATTTTCTGTTAAATTCATCTGTCAAGAGGTTCATGCAGTTTAAAATTTAATCTGATCAAATAATAGGATGTTCTGGCTTTTTTTTTTTTGGTACCGGGAATCAAACTTGGGTCCTTGCGCTTAATGCAGCAGCCGGCGAAACCACTGAGCTAAATCCCTGGCCCTAGGATGATCTGTTATTTTGGTGGCAGTCTATGCTCAGACTTGCTATCATGAGAACTATTGCATAGTGATTATATATTAAAATACAAATTACTTTTGTCTTGAATAAGGTAAGTTTATTTTATTTATTAGTATTATCCTTTTTAGGCCTAAGCTATTTGGAGAGCACACTATATTTCCACTTTGCATTCTGCAGTCTCCATGGTGGCCAGTTTAGTGCCATACTTTTAGTTATATATAAATCGAATTTCTTAAAATAGAATGCTTCCTTGGAGTCCCAAACTGTTCAGGCACTAAGCCATTACTATTAACATCAGATGCTGAGACAGCTCCTCGGTAAAGAATGCTTGGGTAGCATTAGGACATGATGCCACCATCGTATCTGGAGCAACACATACCTCATACTCTGTGAAAGATGGTGACATTGACAGAAAGTAGTGGACCAACAAACACTGCCTCTCCCTCTGACTCATCACAGCAAAGCAGCTAGTGACCAGGGCTATATTTGTTCCTGAAAATCTTCATCTTTGCTTGTAAAAATGGTTGCTTTGTTTAAAAGATCATATAAATTCTGATATACATAATACTTGGTACATATCAAATTTGTTGATTAGTCTATTCCAGCTGCCTTAGCCTGGGCAATTTATACCTTAGAATGGGCAATTTATAAACAGCAGATATTTGTGGCTCAGAATTCTGGAGACTAGGAGGTCCAAGATCAAGATGCCAGTAGATTCGGTGTCTTGTAAGGGCCCGTTCCTCATAGATGATACCTTCTGTGTGTCCTCACATGGTAGAAGAGGTGAACAAGTTCCCTCACGCCTCTTTTTTTTTTCTTTGGTACCAGGTATCTAACTCGGGTCTTTGCACTTGCAGTGCAGGCGGTGGAAACACTGAGCTAAATCCCCAGCCTCCTCACCCCTCTTTTTTTTGAAAGGACATGAATCCCCTTCATGAGATTCCAAAAGGCTCCACCCACTTCTTATATTAGAAATTATTTAGCAACATGAATATTTTGGGAGGGGTGGGGCAGCCTTTAATATTGGAGGACTTGTACTGTACCAAGGGCTGGCAGACTCTCCAGCCATTAAGGTGTGCTTCCTGGAAAAGAGTGAAAAATTGAGTTCTTCCGGAATCATCTCTATTTCCCTAACTCTGAATTAGCTAGTAACACTTTTATATCTGCTTTGAATCAGTGTTTTCTGAGCCCCTGTGAACAGTTTTTCCAGCTTGAAGCTTCCAGTATACTTTCTTGTGGAGAATAGGATACTGGCAGTTTTGGAGTAGGACAAGTAATGGCCATCTGCTCGTTTGGGGGATCCTAGTATGAATATCCCTTATTTCTCTCCCAGGCTTTCAAATTTAGGGGTTTTCCTATTCTCCTTTTAGTCTGTGCATTCCACACTATTACCATAGTTATGCTCCAGCACCTTGCAGTATCTTGGAAGGAAAAAGGGACCTTGTAAATGAGGTTATTTGTTGTTTGATACTTCAGCACAGGCTGTTAGGGATCCTGTGTCTAATTGGTCATGCCCTGCTTATTTTTAAGTGATTGGAGCAGCTAGCACATGAAATTATCTAGGATCACATTTGGGTTTCTTACAGAATTTGATGCTTTGATGCTAAGCAGGGAAATGGTACTTCCATCTAATTCACCAAGTTTTCATTTAATTTTCAGCTTTGGGAACCCCTCGCTGGATGAGAGAAGCATTCTTGCCCCTCTCTATCAGTGTTGCATGTAAGTTATGCACAGCCAATACATATGCCTGCATTGCCTTCCTTTTTAGGCTCAGGTAACAACAGTACATCCATTTCCTTGACCTTAACACTTCCTAAAGGCAGCCCAGGCTACATAGTTCAGGGCCAGCATAGAGTAAGACCCTGTCTCAGAAAACAGACACACACACAATTTCCTGCTTTCAGTTCACAACCACTGGAGATCCTAAGATGGGGATGAGGGAAGGTAGAGGCAGGTGACACAAAGCACAGAATTCATTTTGAATTTTGAGTGAAAAGAACTTTGTAGTCACCTAGGTGCAGTGGCACATGCTTATATAATTCTATCACTCTGGAAGGCTGAGGCAAGAATATAACAGGTTTGAGCCCAGGCTGGGCAAGTTAGCAACTCATCAAGAAAGACCCTGTCTCAAAAATAATAAAGAAAGGGCTAAGGCAATGAGGAATGTAACTGTATTGTATACCTAAAATGTACCAATAAACTTAATGGAAAAAAAGGGGAAGGCTAAGGATACAGCTCAGTGTGAAAGCCCTGGGTTCAGTCTTAGTACTGGGGGAAGAGGTTTGTAGTCCATGTAGTAAAACTTATCTATGCTTGGCTTCATATCAGTATAATCAACCTCTTCTTATGCTAACTATGCCCCTGCAAAAAACCCACAAAAACCCCAAAACCCCTCACCAAATCATCTAAAAAAATCTGTATTGCTGCATCTGGTTTACTTCGTGATTTTAAATCCTCTCATCACATAAAACCTGGGATTTGCGTATCTCAATTTGAAATTGTCTGAACTAAAAGTACATTTTTCACAAGTATTTAATAATTGGGGGTCGGGGATTTAGCTCAGTGGTGCCGCTGCCTGCCTCGAAAGCGGAAGGTGCCGAGTTCGATCTCTGGTACCAAAAAAAAAATTAATAATTGGGTTTTTTATTCATTAAGTTTATTGGTACATTTTAGGTCTACAATATGATGACATTCATCATTGGAAATTTGTACCTTTACATGATGTATCTTGGTTCTTATTTTTTTCCCCATTCCCCTGCCCTCCCTTCACCCACCTCCACCCCACCCACTTTCTTTCCCACAGAAACAAAGACTTTGTTTCTGTTTTTTCCTTTTCTCATATTTATCCTCTCCCTTCTTTCCTTTCCCCTACCCCTCCCACTTCCCCTTCCCCTCTAGACCTTTTCTTCCTATTCACATTATCTATTTTACATTTTGATCCTTATTTACACTTTTAGTTTCTCACACCAGAGAGACTATTTGGTATTTACACGTGTGTCCTATTTATTTCACTTAAGAGTATTGCCTCCATGTGCATCCATTTAGCTATAAATGTTTCTAGTTTCTTATTCTTTATGGCTGAGTAGTACTCCATTATATTAAAAAACCACATCTTTATCCAGTCTCTAGTTGATGGGCACTTGGGCTGTTTCCAAGCTTTAGCTATTATAACTATGCAGCTATAAACATGAGTGCACATATATTGCTGTGGTATGATTCCTTTAGTTCTTTTGGGAAGATACCCAACAGGGGAATAGCTGGATCAAATAAGACCTCTAATCCTAGTTCTTTGAGCTATCTCCATACAAATTTCCACAGTGGTTGCACCAGTCTACACTCCCACCAGCAGTGGAGAAGGGTTCCTTTTTCCCTACAGCCCCACCAGCATTTGTTATTGGTTGATTTCTCTATAGCAGCCATTCTTTCTGGAGTGAGGTGGAATCTCAGCTTTGTTTTCATTTGCATCTCTCAAATGACCAGTGATGTTGAACATTTTTTCATATGTTTATTTGTTGTTTCTACTTCTTTGTCTGAGATATGGCTGTTCATTTCAGATGTCCAATTTTGGACTGGATCTTTAAATTTAGGAGGTCTTTTCTTTTTTGGTACCGGGGATTGAACTGGTCCTTGCACTTGCACAGCAGGCAGCGAAACCACTGAGCTAAATCCCGAGCCCTAGGAGGTCTGATTTCTATAAGTATTCTAGATAGTAGACCTTTGTCTGAGGAACTGCTGGTAAAAATTTTTTTCCCACATTGTGGGTTGTCTCTTCACTCTGTTGTTGGTTTCTCTTGCAGTACAGAAGCTTTTTAATATGATGAGATCCCAGTTATTGATTCTTTGTGCTAGTTCATTTGTGACTGAGGTTTTGTTCATGAAATCTTTCCTACACTAATGTCTTCAGAAACTATACTACAAATCTACTGTGATAAAAACAACATGGTACTGGTAAAGAAACAGACCCGAGGATTAGTGGAACAGATTAGAAGATTCAGAAACAACTCCAGACACACTCAGCCACCTCATCTTCAACAAAGGAGCCAAACACTCTCACTGAAGGAAAGATAGCCTCTTTAATATATACTGCTGGAAAATTGGGTTTCAACTTGCCAAAGACTAAAACTAGACCTATATCTCTCACCATGTACTAAAGTAAAATGGAAGTGGATCAAAGATCTAAACATTAAAACAGAAACACTAAACCGACTGGAAGAGAGGTTAGGTAGAAGAACTCTTGAGGATGAAACAGAATTTCGGGTTTGAGGCCAGCCTGGGCTACAGAGTGAGTTCAAGGCTAGCCTGGGCTGTCTAGCAAGACCCTGTCTCAAAAACAAAAAACAAAGGGGCTGGGGATTTAGCTCAGTGGCACCTTGCCTCCCTCGCAAGGGCAAGGTCCTGAGTTTTGTTTTGTTTTTTGGTACCGGAGATCAAACTCGGGTCCTTGTGCTTGCAAGGCAGGCGGTGGAACCACTGAGCTAAATCCCTGGCCCAAGGTCCTGAGTTTGATCCCCAGTACCAAAAAAAAAAAGTGTATATTATTAGCAAACAAGGAAATTGAAAAGTAATTCAAGAAAATAAGATAAAGACTAGGCTCTAAGGAGCTCCTTTTCAGAGCAGATTCCTGGTCTGATTTTAAAGTGTGCACATCAAGAGTCAGCTGGGATTCACCTTGCTTGTCTGCACAGAAAAGCAGGCCCAAGAGTACCACTTAGCACTAGGCAACTCCTGGGCACATTCATAGCATGTAAGGCTGCCCCTTAGAGCCATTGCCACCCCCCTTAACTCACAGTTTACCAAGGCAACCCTTGTCTTCATTAATAATTGGGAAACTGGTACAGATAATAAAAAATTAAAGATGTTTTTGTATTAGTATTGTCAGCCTGATCCAGTCAGGAGATAGAAAAGACATAGTGTGTTAAACAGGGATGTTTTATATAAAGAATTATTAAATTTTAATTTAAGAGTACCGGACAAGGAAATCAGGGATGAGGGAGAGTACCCAAGGACAAACTTGAAGTGGATCCCCTGCCCATGGTGGAGTTTGGATTTCAGTGGAGAAAGTGCAATTCAGCCCATCAGATAGGAGTGAAGTTTGCCGGTTGCAGGTGCTGGGCAAGCTGGAAGCAACCTCCATAATGCACGAACCTGGTGTCATGGCCTACAGAGAGCAGCTACCCAGTAGGAATCTTCTGTGCTGCAGGCGAGGCACATCTGTGGGCCTGCAGAATGAGTAGAGGGTTGAGAGCATGCACTTCAAGGTTGTGGTTTCCACATCAAGAGAACCTCAGGAAAGTTATCACCAGTCCAGGCCAGGGCTTCAAGGTTACCAAGGGGCCTGTACCTTCTGGGAATGTGGGTTGGGCACAGTTCTGTTGGATGACCTCCCATCTTTACCTCTGGCCCACTATGCAGTATGGTATGTAGTGGAGACCCCCTTCCTCCTGCATTGTCCCTCTAATGAGAAAGCTTAACAAGAGAGATGCTTTTAAAGCAATTCTGTCTGTTATGGCAGGTCTTATCTTATATTGAAGGGTAAATTCAGAGCTAAGAGGCAATAAAGTGACAGTGTAGTCATACTGGGCATTTGTGTTAGAATTCAGAATAAGAAAACTCCCGAAATTTTTGCTTGTCCATCCCTCCTATGCTTTACGCAGAGAACTATCTTCCTTTTTAAATGGTTGCAGAACAGGCTCAGAGTCAGACATTTCTGCCTACTTAGTAATTTCTGTTTTACCCACCAGGAGGTAAGAACTTTTCTTCTGAGATAATAAAAGGTTCTCTTTACTGGTATCTTAGTCTGTTTCATGCTGGTATAATGGAATACTACAGACTGGATAATTAATAATGAACAGAAATGTATTGGCTCGTAGTTCTGGAAGCTGAGAAGTCCAATATCAAGGTATTAGCATCTACTATGTCATCACATGGCAGAAGGCAGAAGGGCACAGAGACGAAATGAGGGGGCCTGTTTCACATCAGCATCAGTTCCACTGAGAGTTCTGCCTCATGGCCTAATCACATTTTAGAGTCTCATCTCTTACTGTTTTTTCACAGGCAGCTAAATTGCAACATGCAATTTAGCAGCTGGTAAAATTAAGGAAACCAAGAGTGGTGGTGCATGCCTTTGATCGAAGCATTCTGGAGGCTGAGACAGGAGAATCACAAAGTTCGATCAGCCTGAGCTATGTAGTGAGTTCAAGGCCAGCCTGAACTATGTAGCAAGACTCTGCCTCAAAAAACAAAAAAAGCCCAAAATTAAATTAAAAAACAAACAAAATAAGGAAAACAGCCTTAAAATAATTTTCCTATGTATGATGTTAATGGTAGAAATTTTTAAAATTCAGAAACATGAAGAAATTAAAATTACCCATTAATATGTAAAGAACACTCCTTTTAGCATTGTAGTGTACTATAATCCTATAGTCATTCTAATCTTGCACACACATTCTGTTTCCTCACAGCTTTGGAGTAAGTGTGTAGGTCTTTGTGTATGCCTCTGATTAATTACCCAGAAAAAGCATAAATGTATCAATGTGACTTACTTATAATACAGAATTCTGAATAGAAATGACTTTTTAAATTTAAAATATCTTACATAGCCAGATGTGGTGGTGCACGCCCATGATCCCAGCACTATGGGAGATTGAGGCAGGAGGATTTCAAGGTTGAGCCTAGCCTGGGCAGTTTAGTAATTTGGTAAGATCCTGTCTCAAGGGCTCAGTTTGAAGGCCTGGGTTCAACCCTCAGTACTGTCAAAAAAAATTTTTTTTAAACTTTTGTGTGCCAAGCAAATTTTGAACTCCATTTGATAGTGAGAGCTTTTATGTAACTTGTACTAAAACTTTTTCTTCCAGCATTCGAGTTTCCACTTGGAACAGACTGAACTATCTAAAGAATGGAGTGCTAAAGTCTGCCTTAAAATTTGCCATGGCCCATGACCCCATCTCCCCTGTGCTCTCCGATCCTCACCTGGATGCTGTGGACCAGCGGCTGCTGAGTGTCTTGGCCACCGTGAAGCAATGCACTGACCAGTTTGGGATGGACACTGTGCTAGTGGAAGACAGAATGCCTCTCTCCCACTTATAATTCTCAACACAAAATAAGTGAGACTTATTTTTACAAAGATAGAGAAACAGCACAATCAATTCCAAATAGTATCAGATGGCTTTGGAAGTTGTCAGCAGCAAATTTTGGTAGTAGAGGACAGGTTGGCGTTGGATGTCTGTGGTGTTTTCTGAAATAGAAACTAAGGCAGACATATTTCAGAGCATGAGATGTTCCTGCAGAACCACCTTGACTTCCTCGGTAGTGGCCCATTTTAGCAGTGGGTATCGGCGTTGGTCAGTTTTAAGTCCCATGCCAAAGGACAAACAGAAGTGTGACATTGGATAGGTGGATGCTGCAGTTGCTTCCAAGAGTGTGTTTTAAGGTGAACCTTACAGTCCTTTCTCCACACTTACGGATTTTGTGGAAACACTTTACAATTTCTTGTCTTTTTTTTTTTTAACCAGGACTACTCAAATTGGAAAGCATACTGCTACCCACAGAGTAGCAGCAAATAAAACTTTGCATTCTGTTGAGCCAAAATAGAACGCTGTATTGAAGGGGGATACATTTGTAAGATAGAATTGGTGGGAAGGGCAAAAGCAGGAAGATATTCAGTATGTTAAGCAATTGTGTTGTATGGTTTAGATGATTTTAGAGGAGAGAAGAAGAGAGACACTCAGAACAAGAATCAGCAGAAAGTTAATTCCCCTGTGATTAGGATCTAAGGTATGTAAAAGGCAAACATGACTTGGTACGTAAGTAAAATCTGCATTCTCTCAGTTGTGTCCAAATTAATCAAAACATTGTCTCTAGAGAAAATATTTTTACAACCCAAGCATGATTCTCTTATGGAGACTGATTTTCCCTTTTGCTTAAAGCAGTCAGATCCTTTCTAAATTAACAAAGCAAACTGAAATACTGCCTTGAATAAGAGTCAGGTTGTGTGATCTCTACAATCCTCATTTCACTTCTGAAATGAATTTCCATTTCGTTTCTAAAGTATTTGGTCATTGAAGACGCTGTTCCCAGGAGATCAGTGGCCCTGTTTCTGCCTTTCTTGTAAGAAAAGGCAGCTATGCCACAGGAGACAGTATACACCCTGCTGGCGGATAGACCTAGTTTCTGAGCCATGCAGAAGACTGGAATCAAAGATATTAAGCCTTCTAAGCCTTGAAATTAAGGGAGTTACCAGAAGTAGCCTTAAGATTTTGATTTATATCAAATCCTAATTTTATCGTTAGTCTCATTTGTAGTTAACACTCTCGAATTCATGTTGCTAAAACATAGGCTTAGTACTGTGTTCTGGCAAAATCATCCTGACATGTAGGCAGCTGCAGTAAATTATAGGGCCAGAGGGGACAGGCCTGGCATGCCCACTTGCCTGTGCACTCGGAGCTGTGTGTGTCCCTCCTGTGTCTTATCCAGATCCCATTTCATTTGTATTTCTGTCAATTAGAGACTAGTATTTAAACAGTGTAGTTGAGCAAATTTAATGCCAGTTACCTTTGACCACTACCCTTTCAAAAACAGCTTTGCAATTCATGCCCCAATTTTCTGCCATTGAAAGATAACTGAGTAACTTGTAACTACTTTAAAATAGCATGAAATTAGGAAACCATTGTAATCTTTATAGACATTTTGTGGTGGACATAAGAATGGCTGATTTTAAAAAAGGGTATTGAATTTAAGAAGCAGATACTGTACAAAACATTCAAATAGTGTTAACAAAAGAAGGCATCGATTCCGATTTTAAGGCCACTTGCTATGTGTGTTCAGGGAAATTCACAGTTCAGATTGAGAATACCTTGGTTTAGTGCTTCCCTGAAGCTTCTAGGAGCCAGCTGGCAGAAGGGAGTACAAAGGACATCAGTCAGTTCTGCTCTTCTCAAAAGTGTTAATTGAAATAAATTATGGTTTAGTGTTCTTTCAGACACATGTTGCCTTTAGTACACCACAACGAAATGAGTAAGAACTGTTCTCAGACTGGGAACTTCCTGAGGCCGAAGGCAGTAGATTCTGCTAAGGGGGAAAAAAACAGGAAGGAGATTTGTTTGAAAAATGCTTCCTCCACAAGCCCAAGGTCCAGAGTTTGATCCCCAGTACCAAAAAAAGAAAGAAAGAAGGAAGGAAGGAAGGAAGGAAAAGAAAGAAAAATGTTTCCTCCTTGCTTGAAAGCATTTGCAAAAATGTATCATCTTATTCTTTTCCTTACTACTTTAAAACTCAGAATCTTAAAAGGTACTCAGATTCACAGTGGTTAAGTTAGACCTAACACACAGCATACATTTATGTTCTAAATTAGGATTGGTTTAAGTTAGAAAAAGTGTTCAGATGAATCTTGGAGAAAACCAACCCTAAGCTTACAGTCCTAAAATTCAGAAACACTAAGTTCTGTGTGAAAAAAAAGATACTTAAAAAAAAATGTTTAGTAATGCTGTCCTCTTTTAGTTTTGTTTATTAGAATCTAGCTCAGGCTGTTACAGCCAAGTCATTGGAGGGTTTTTGGTTAGGTATGGCAGCTGAACACCTAGATAGATGTGGATACCTTTTAATACTATGAAAGTAGGAAAATCAGAACTGATTTCCATTTCCTGTTCTACTTCTTCAAAATGTGTATTTTGAAGTTTGAATGTAGATATTTGGGTGTAGAGATTTTGTTTTAAAACTTCTTTAATGAGGCTACATTGTGGTTTAGGGAAAGGGGTATAATTTTCCGTGCTGAACAAATTAATACAATCTAATTTGCTCAGAGTATTGTTCAGTATATTTTGAGGCATTTATCCCTGTTTGCACTCAGGGTTAATATGTCAAATGAAATTTAAGAAGAAAATGGAGAAATTTAGGTGTATTTATTTGCATAGTATTTTGGGAAAGTTGAATCCCATACATGGCAGTTTTTCAATGACACCTGGGCACAGCATTATCTTCCAAAGAAGTCTATCTTTTCTTTAAAACACAAACTTTGGACTCCTCTTCCCATACACCATATTCCTTAGCCTCCCTTCCCAGCCCTACCTGTCACCTCTCTGGGTTGGCAGAGCAGGCTCCTCAGTGAGCCTGTACGAGTTCTCCGTGAGCTTGGGCTTCAGGAAACATGGGTGAAGCTGTACATACTGATAAAGGTGGATATGTGTTCTACTAAGGAGCATGTATTTATTTTGACACAGAAATACAGACATCACAGAGGTACTTGAAACTGTTAAAAGTTCTCTTTTCAGTCCCTGTGAGTGGACTGTAAGTGACATAAAGACAGCACATACCTCCTGGGCAGCTCTGGTGAGCCAAGTGGGCCTGAACCTGACTCTGAAACTTGCTCTGGGAGGGAAGCCAGCTTGGCTGCCTTCCATTCCTTAAGCGGTGAATAGTCTGGGTGGTGAATAAGGACTGGGTACCATACTGTCACAGATTTTTTGGAACCAGAGTGTTCCTCACAAACACAAAATGGGCAAACTGGGAATAACTTACTGGGGAGCTAATTTATTTGCTTAAAAGGAGGTGTAGAAATCACTACCCTCTTGTTTGATTGCCAAGGATTTCCTCTCAGAGCTGTTGCACAAGTAGAGGTACTTGGTAAGACACCAAATAAGAGACCCTCAAATTTCTGATGTGTTCTGTGGGTTCCAATTCTGAAAAAAACAATAAAGATTTTAATAAATATTGAGATAACGTCTTTTTCTATTAATCCTTTCCCTCTGCCTTTCAGGATTTTTCCAGTGTTTTCTATTTCAATTTCCTACCTGTTTTATAGGGGGCAAAAGATTACATCTTTTGTTCCCACTTCAGCTTTCACAGGACTTGCTTCTCAGTATCTGAAAGACAAGACTAAATTGCCTCACCAGTCTTCAGAAGGTCCATACAAGGTAATAAGTGTACCAAAGCTTTCCATGGGATCATTCTTTGTTGCTTTTGTGTATTCAGTAGTTAACTCCACCCATGCAGCTTCTTAGTGGTAAAGAATTATCCTAAAGAACTTGTCAGCATAGTACTATGCAGTTGAGGCAGGGAGAGAAGGTCGGGTGCCCTGATCAGAATTCTTAGAACACCTTGATTTTTAATTTGTGAAGTGGAAACCCAGCACCATGTGCCTCAGGCAATAAACAGAGTTATTTTTGCTTGATTTGCAGAATATTTGCCAGTTTTAGTCATTTGTACTGGAATATATGTGGGAGGATGAAACATGGTCCGTGTTCCTCCCTGACTCACCACATACACATTCTTTTGCAGGCTGTACTTCAGGATTCATTTGCTTTCAAGCAGATCAGATTGTTGTTAGTACTTGAAAAAGGTAGCTGGGAGTACGGGGAATGAGGTTCTGTTCCTGGGTAGTTTGACCCACTGTGTGTGCCATAAAACTGATTTTTAGCAGCCGTCATCTTTGTCTTGTGACATAGACAATGATCATAACCACTGGTTTTCCATTGGAGAGGTTTTATAAGGTAAGTTGTAGTATAAACCTCAAGGAAAAATGGATTGAGTCACGGTATGCGAGGTGCTTGGTCTTCTATAGACATTTGGGTGTTGTGTGAGCTGTGGATGCCACCGAGGTGGCAGGGACTGTCCCTTCCCTCAGCCTCTAGTCCTGGCAGAGAACTGCTTGTGAGGCACCAAATGCTTTGGGAAGGATGTAAACTACTCACCCTGGAGATGAGAAGGGAAGAATCATGGGGTTAGGGGAGGCAGCACCTACATTAAAGAGGGTGAAATCAGTCCAGATGTGACCCGGGGTGTGTGTAGAATCCCTGATTCCACACACGAGAGCCATGTGCTTAGGAGATGCAGAGCCTCTGGGCCTGGGTGTGCCCTGTTGATGTCTCAAGTGCTGTGCAGCACAGATGCTAAAGGAACTACAGGCAAATACACGAGCTGTAGAATATTCATGCTTGTATGAATATGTTTTACATTCCAGGGTGATTTAGAATAGAGACTTGATTTGGAGCCAAAGATTGTTTTCAAGGCAGATAGTTCTGCCTGCCTTCAGTGAGGCTGGGGAGATGTCTTTTCTAAGCTAGGTTTCATTCAGATGACCTCAATAAAGGTGTTGTGTGCCCATTTTCTCTTAGATCCTGCTAAAATGCATATTTTGGTTCCATAGGTCTGGAGGCTGAAATTCTGCAGTTCTGATAAACTCATGCAGTGCCACACTCCAGTGTCATCCAAGTGATGCTTGGTGAGGAACTTAGCTGCCTGTAGTTTTCCTAACAGCCTGTAGATGTCCGTATCATCCATGAGGTCTTGCTCCTAGAGTTATAGCCATTAGCCTCCAAGCCCCTGTGAATGAAATGTAGGTGATTTACTGAAATACCTAAGAGATTACTTAGAACCTGATGTTTGGATTTGTTTTCCTGTGGGCTGACTCTGGTGAAAAAAAAGTTTATCTCTTATTTTTGGGGGGAAAAAAATGTCTTGAAGTCATTTTGGTCCAACAATTTCCCAGTTACCTGCTTACCATAAAAGGCTAAATCTAAACCAAAACATTCTTTACAAGAATATTGGCAGGCGTGGTGGTGCATGCCTCTAATCCTAGCACTCGGAGGCTGAGGCATGAGGATCACTGTGAGTCAAGACCATCCTGGGCTACATAGTGAATTCAAGGCCAGCCTGAACTACATAGCAATACCCTGTCTTAAAAAGATTTCCACAGTCTTAAAACTTGGATTGTTTTTATAACCTATTACTAGTAATTTTGGGGGTGGTGCTAGGATTGAACCTGGGACCTTGAGCATGCTAGCAGGTGCTCTACCACTGAGCTACACCTCATCCCTATTATTGGTAAGTTTATCACCATAAATTCCCCAATGAACCCAGTATTACCCAACCCTCTTCCAATAGGCTGTTTTATATATTACATAAACATGAAAATGAAAGTTAACACAAATTGGGTGTTTATGATGCACTCAGGTCATTTCATCTTCACAAGGTGACTATTCAGTAGGTGGGGAAATCGAGGCATGGGGCAATTTACTAATACCCAAACTCCCACAGACAGAAAATGGCAGAGCCTGTTCTGTTACTCTGCTAGACTGCCACTTAGGCTCAAATAAAATTTGTTGAGTAATGTTTCAATTTTCAGTAAGCACATGGTGTGTTGGCTTTCTGTTACTATACTATCTGAGATAACCATAAAGGAAAAGGTTTCTTTTGTTGCACATTTTTGGAAGTTCCAGTCATGATCTGGTGGAACCATTGTTTTGAGGCCTCTGACAGCAGGTGGGGAGGGAGGTGGGAAGTAACACTTGATGGTGGGAGTGTGGGACAGAGCAAAAACCACACCTCATAGCCAGGGAGCAAAAAAGAAGAGAACACATCTCTATGATCCCCTTTGTGGTCATAACCCAAAGACTTCCCACTAGGCCTCATCTCTTAAGTTTTCATTACCTCCCATGAGCACAAAGCTAGTGACCAAGCCTGTAATATGGGCCTTGGTTGTGGAGGGGACACTGAAGATCCAAACCATAACACAGTGTGTTCAGAGTTAGCTGTCCTCTGAAGGGTTCCACAAGATTCACTGCAAATAATGCACTGATGCTATCGCTGCGGCTCCATGGGAAGTTGGGTTTCACTTTTGGACACAATATGTATACATAACATTACTTTTCAGGTTAACTTTTTTTTCTTTTTGGGGGGGTACCAGGAATTGAACTCAGGACCTTGTACTTACAAGGCAGGTGCAGTGCCACTGAGCTAAATCCCTGGCCCTCAGTTAACTCTTGTGTCCTAACAGAGGTGCTTATATGGTTTTGGAGGGCGATTGAATGAAAGGAGAGAGAAATTTGGTGAGCTGCTGAGGTTGGAGCATCCCTGGCATTGAGTGTGATCGACTGGGTGAGCAGCAGAGGCAGTTTGCCTGTCATGTTTGTGAGGCATGGTGCTAGGATTCACCTTTCTGTCTGGAGAGCCTACCTCAGAAGACATTAATCAGGTCCTCTACCTTTCTCGCCAGCGGTTTCCAACTAGGACAAGGTCACTGATTTTGGTGACTCCAGGCTGATTTTGGAAAAATCAGTTAAGCTTCTCTGAAATCGACCTTGTTCAGCCTTGTTCCATGCTCCCTGTTAAGGAAGCCTGGGAAAGAGGCCCTCAAGTCTCTTGCCGGTAGTGTCTAACGGGCTGCTCCATCGCAAGCACTTGAAAGTTGCAAACCTGTAGTTACACAGTACTTAGCCTTCTTTTGTGAGATATGATTACATTGTAACTATGGGGATTTACAAAACCCCAGTGTCTCCAGACTGGAAACCATCAGCTGCTTCTTGCTTTTGGTGGAAGCCTGCCGGTTCCTTGCTGTTTCGTTTCCCTCTGTAGAGCAGCAAGGCTACCTCAGTCTGACAGGCCCGGGTGCGCGTTGTTCTCAGGGCTGCTTCTCCCCTCAGCTAGCTCCCCTGCCAGCATAAAGCGCCTGACTGAAATGGTGTCCACAGCTTCGTCTAACAGGTTGGCAGGAAGCTGACCTGCAGATCAACGACCCGGCAGCCTTATTTGGTTAGCCTCATAAGGGCCGCCAGGGGTGCTTGCAAGTAACAGCGGAGTGATTGACAGCGGCCGTTTCAAGGCATGGTATCACCTTTGCGGCAACTCCAAGCACGCCTCAGAATAGACTGCTTCCTGGGAGGCGGTAGGGTAGAGAGGGTCGGACACCTGCCTCGGGATGCCGTTCTAGCGCGTAGCCTAGGTTTCTATTCCCCGCCCGGGTAGCGTGGGCGGCGAGTGGGCGGGCTACGGACAAGACGCGCCCGGAGTGGCCGGCCGGTCGCCATGGCGACACGGATCCAGTCCACGCCCAGCTGATAGATCCCCGCCCCGCCCTCTCCGAGCCCACGAGAGCCGGAGCCCGCCGCCCGGAGCGCGGGGTCGCTGGCCATGCCTCGCAGCTCGCGTTGCGCGGTCGGGCTCAGCTTTCTGCTTCTCCTGCTGCACCCGGGCGCGCCGGGGCACTGCGGCGCAGAGAGGCCTCGAGAGGGGGCGGACCAGCCGGGCTCGGCCTGGGCCTGGCCGGGCCTCCAGCGCCTGCGGGAGCAGCTGAATGCGGCCAAAGCCCTCTCCAGGCGGTACTGGGCGCTCTTCACCTGCCAGGTGTGGCCCGACGACTGCGAGGAGGATGGAGAGGCTGCGGCGGGCCGCCTGGGTAAGAGCCGTTCCTTCCTTCCGTGGCTCTGAGCAGCGCCTCGGCGCCAGCTTCCCTGTTCCGCCCAGCCTCTGGCCGCGGCTGTGGCAGGGGCAGCCTCAGGGCATCAGGAAGTGCTGTCACTGTTCCCAGCCCAACTCCACCCCTGGGGCAGCCCTACCCCAGCTCCCGGCTCCTCCTGACCTGCTCACACTTCCCCTGCCCTCCCAGCGCACCCCTGCTTTGTCTGAGGTGCTGCTTTCCCTCCCCTTCTTGATGGCCCAACAGGGTGGTGTCTGTCCCCTACCCCCAAGTTCCCTCGGTGTTGCTTATGGAGACAGTGCTTGAGTACTTGCAGTGGGCCGAGCCTGGGCCGGAAGCTGGGAGCCGAGTTCTGGTTTTGGTGCTGACACTGACAAGTTGTCATGTCACTGTTGTGAACTAACAGAGTCTCGGCTGTGCCTCATAGCTCCTCTTTTTCCAGGCCAGAGACTTGTCCAACTGGGCCAGAGGTCCCTGGATGTCCTGACCACGTGGTACTGCAGCTTCCAGGACTGCTGCAATGGTGGGGACTGCAGGATCTCCAACGACTTTTCAGGTTGGACCCAGCAGTGTCTAGGGGTCAGAGACTGTGGGAGGAGAGGTGACCTCGGGAAATGGCTGCCGTGCATCTTGCCCAGCCTCCCACCAAGTGGGGATTGCCACAATAAGATTGAGGTCAGGTCTGCAGTTATTTGAGGCCCTTTGGGGAAACTACTAGGTTTTCCAGAAACCACACCCTCCAACAGTGAGAACAAGGTAACGCGAACATCAGTGGTGTCATTAATGGTGTTACCGCATTCTCCCACCTAGGAACAGGCAAAAGCATTTCTGTCCTCTACCCCTGAGCCCTCCATCTTGCTTTTTGAAGGAGCACCATGACACTTGAATCAGGGCTGAGAAGCCCCCCTTTTACAGTTAGTTTGATAGCTCAGAGCTTGTTGAAATTCATGGGAATTCTCTGAAGATGTCACACCCAGCTAAGACAGCTTCGAGGAGGGAACCCTGCCAGGTGTAGAATAGGTGCTGAAGTTTTTCCTCTGCTTATTTGCTACCTTCCCCATGTCCTCCTGCCATCCCTGGGAGTGGATCCAAGAGGAAAAAAAATAAGAATAGTTAATATTTCCAGGTGTGGCAGTACATGGCTATAATCCCATCACTCTGGGAGGCTGAGACAGGAAGGTTGCAAATTTAAGCCCAGTCTGAGCTATTCAGCAATTTACCAAGAACCCTGGCTCAAGGGCCAGGGATTTAGCTCATTGGTTCTGCTGCCTGCCTTGAAAGCACAAGGACCCGAGTTCAATCCCCAGTACCAAAAAAAAAAGAACCCTGAGTGAAAACTTTTTAAAAGTAGGGCTGGGATATAACTCAGTGTAAAGGTCCTGAGTTCAATCCCTAATACCACCAAAAAAAAAAAGCTAATATCTACCGCTATTACATCTTCTATGTACCAGGCACTGTGCTGAGTTTTGTAGGGATTAACTCATAATATATCCTATGGCCTTTCAGAGGAGTCAGGCCCAGAGCACTCTGTCTCTTTGAACAGAATCAGCAACCTTTCAGACATGGTTAGGAGTATCAGTGAGAGAACTGACTAAAAATGATGGGATGTGATTATCCTTTAGTCAACAAAGGTCTGGAAAATGCAACATGGGTTTCCTAGTTTATCTGGGAACAGTGGGGATGCCTCAGTGGCTCCTAACCCTGAGAAAAGTAGATTGTTCCTGATTAATAAACTAGTTGATATTAACTACCACCACATGGATTGCAAACTGCCCTGCCTGTATGCTGTGAATTCTCCCCCTGGGCTCCAGCTGCTTATGACTCACATTAACCAACCTCCCTCCTCTGCATTTAAATTAGGTCAGGTGCCTTTATTTGCATATAGTGGCTGATTTGTATTTTAGCTCTCAGCGAACCTCAATTACGGAACCGTCTGATAAAAGACCAGTAGGTTAGTCCCTTGGGAATGTTTCCTGTTTTCCCCAGGAGAGTTTGTTCCCTAGAGTCCCCTGATCCCAGTTCTTTCATCTTCATAAATGAGGCCCACCCTATAATGTAGGACCTAATTGGAAGAAGTGCCAATGACAGTGTGTCTAGCACAGGACCTATAAGACTACATTCAGGTCAGGAAGTCTGAATTTGGATTTCTGCCAATTTGGGATAAGACCCTAAGTAGGCACCTAGCAAGTTACCTCCCTATCTTCAGCGTACTCATTGTCCACGAGGGGCCTGGATATCCAGCTTGTTCTGGCTACAGCAGGCATCAGAAATTCCTCACTGTGGAAATCAGTATGGAGATATCTCAAAGAACTAGGACTGGAAGTCCCATTTGACCCCACTATTCCCCTGCTGGGGATCTTCCCCAAAGAATTAAAAGAATCATACCACAGTGATATATGTGCACCCATGTTCATAGCAGCACGGTTTATGATAGCTAAAACTTGGAAACAGCCCAAATGCCCATCAACTGGAGACTGGATAAAGAAGATGTGGTTTTTTATAAAATGGAGTACTACTCAGCTATAAAAAAATGAGAAACTAGAGACATAGCTAAATGGATGCACATTGAGGTGATACTCTACGTGAAATAAACAGGACACATGTGTAAATACCAAATAGTTTCTCTAGTGTGAGAAACTGAAAGTGTAAATAAGGACTAAAAGGTATAATAGATAATGTGAAATAGGAAGAAAAGGGGCAAAGGGGAAGGGGAAGTGGGAGGGGTTGGGGAAAGGAAAGAAGGGAATGGAATTAATATGAGAAAATGGAAAAATGGAAACAAAGTCTTTGTCAATAGGGAGGGATGGAGGGGTTGAAGGGAAGGCAGGGGAAGGGGGAAAAATAAGAACCAAGAGAGATTATGTAAAGGTGCAAATTTCCAATGATGAATGTCATATTGTATACCTAAATTGTACCAATAAAATAAAATTTTAAAAATTCCTGTGTGAGTCCCTAGTCTTGCCTCTTACAAGATTAGCTGCCAGCCTTTGGGCAGTCTTTTCCAAGTCTCAGTTTCCTCAGCCTTAAATGCAAATAATATGTGCCTTACAGAATTATTGTGAGGATGAAATATGAAACCACACTTACCTGTAATCCCAGCACTCAAGAGGCTAAGGCAGGAGGATCACTGAGAGTTCGAGGCCCAGCCTGGGGTTCATAGTGAGTTTAAGGCCAGCCTGAACTATACAGTGAGACGCTGACTCAAAAAACAAAGAAAAAAAAGAAACCCACACAGTTCTCAGTACAGGGAAAACAGTAGCAAGTGTTAATTTTCCCTTCTGTGGTAGTTCTGAAGCAGTGTACTTGCAGTGTTTCACAGTGGATCTTGACTTGCCAAGGCCCTGGAATGCCCAGCCTGGGCTGGCTGGAGATGCCCAACCAATCGATCCTGTGCTCTAAGCAGTCACTCCTCATGCCAGCTGGCAGCACACCTCCCCTGTCTCCAAATCCTGCAACCTCACAGCTGAGAGCTAGCAAGGCCCAACATAGGACTTGGGCCACAGTAGCTGTCTGTACAAATGTTTGCTGGATTAAAATAGGACAGGGGCCGGGGATTTAGCTCAGTGGCACCACGCCTGCCCTGCAAGCGCAAGGTCCTGAGTTCAATCCCCAGTACCACAGAAACCAGAACAATAACAACAAAAATAGAAGGGAGAAACTGGGGCTTTTCTGTAAAACATTTAAGGAGATCTGAAACTAAAGATGGGCGGGCTCCGAGTGGAGGTGGGGCCTTCCTCCTAACTGCTCAGTGTCACCCATTGTGGCATGTCCTCCAAGGGTGATTCTGTTCTCTGAGTTCAGTCTTGAGTCCTCAGATTCTTCAGAAAGTAGCTCTTGAGTCTCTTCCGCTATAAGGGCTGTCCTCTAGCTTCTTCTGATAACAGATCGGATGAATATGTGATCCTACCTCAGAGGTGATCAGAAATTCGGCCCAGCCTGGTGGGGAATGTGCCTGTGCGTGCCTCTCACTATGTCTCTCTCTGCCCCTAGGCTTAGATTCAGACCTGAGTGTGCGGCTGCATGGCCAGCATTTGGCCCAAGCGCTGGTCGTAAGAACAGTGAGAGGCTACTTAGAGATGCCCCAGCCAGACAAGGCCCTGGCACTCTCCTTTCACGGCTGGTCTGGCACAGGCAAGAACTTCGTGGCACGGATGCTGGTGGAGAACCTGTATCAGGACGGGCTAAAGAGTGACTGCGTCAAGGTGTTTATTGCCTCGTTCCATTTTCCGCACCCGAAGTATGTGGACTTGTACAAGGTGAGGCCAGGCAGTGCCAGGGATGGGCCGAGGCTGAGCGGGGCTTCTGTGAAGAGGGCCATCCTGACAGCAGCCCTTCCTCACAAGGTGGTGGCTCTGGAAAAGCCTGGGGGAGGGTGGGGCCAGGCAGCTGGTGTGACAGTCACCTGCCCATGCACTGGGCACAGCAGAGACCCCAGCAGCCAGAGGAGAGACTGATACTTCTGACACCACTCCCAAGTTCTGCCTCCACGAGAGGCCAGACACAGCTCCAAGAGAACTGCATGTTCAATTTTGCACTGTAGTAGTGAAATCTCAAGGAGATGTAAGAGAAAAGCAAAGACTTTACCATAATCTCCCCATGTGGACACAGCCTCATTACAAACAGTAGCATTCTAGGGAACTGCCCTTAATGTCAGACTTCTCCCAGTGCCTTTTCATACTGTTGTCACGTTATTGGACAGAAAGTTGCCAGTTCTGCGTGTGTGTGTGTGTGTGTGTGTGTGGTGTGGTACTGGGGATAACATCCAGCACCTCCAGCACGCTAGGCAAGTGGTCTACTCCCGGGCTGCACCCCCATCTGTGTTCTTTCTTAAGAAAGATGCTTATATCTAAGTGGTTCTCCGTGTCTTCCCATAAAGGCTTGTTATATATATGCCAGCAAATGGATGGACAGAAAGATCCTTTGCTCTTCTTGTATTTCTGGCCTTTCCCATTTAGAGATGTCGTGTTTAAAATTAGCAAACTCCCATCGTGGCAAGACTGCCCCTAGCTTTGGCTTCCAGTTCTAACATTTGGAGTGTTAACCTGGGAAGATTACTAAGCATCTGAGGACAGGGGTTGCCCAAGTCACCAGACAGTGTCAGCATGGCTTTGGAAGGCAGGGGTGGGGTATACTGTTCTGAACCCCCGCTGGCCCAAGGGCAGGTAGCTGATTGGCTGGGCTGTCCTATGAAGAATTGTCTAGCTTTGCCTATGCCAAAACTGCTGTGGATCCCAGCTTCTGCACTGTGAAAGCTGATATACACACTCTCATACCCACCTTCTTAGTGACTGGGGCCTGAAACCAGGCTCTAGAGAGGCTAGAGATGGACAGAGAGCTGGCCCCGCTTAATATATTCTTTGCCCATAAAGAAGCGTCTTCTCAGTTGAGGTTTACTTTTGCCTGTGGTAGGAGCCCACCCCAGCAGCAGCCCCAAGTCACAGGCTGGCTGGGAGCAGCCAGGCCCTCAGCAAGCTCGGTCCTCTGAGATTTCGGCCCAGCGTGTGTGCCAGTGGGCACTCTTCTTCTGCCAGTCAGCCCCACAGAGGAGTCCAACGCCTGCCCCCAGGGCAGGGTGGGCTGGCAGTCAGTTCCAGGACAAGACTTAGTCCTGGAGAGGGAGGAGCACAGCTGGAGCTGAGGCCGGTTCCCGGGGACAGACAGCTTCTCCGCATGTTCTTCGGGGCCTTGCGCTCAACCCCAACAGGGTCTGCCAAACCTGAGGGAGAATCACCTGGAAGCTTGTCATCCAAGGTCTGCAAGTGCCAGCTGCAGGCTTATTCCAGGGGGTGGGCCGAGTGCCAGGCGAAGCAGGGCAGATGCCCTGGGGAAATTGGTCCCTCTGCTAGGGCCCTTGTGGCTCGAGGCGGATCATGTCCCCAGCACCTAGTAGCTCCATGTATCCTGTACAGGAGCGGCTGTCGGACCAAATCCAGGGGACGCAGCAGCGCTGCCATCAGAGCCTGTTTATGTTTGACGAGGCCGAGAAGCTACACCCGGAGCTGCTGGAGCTGCTTGGACCACACTTGGAACGTTGGGCTCCTGAGGGCCACAGGACAGAGTCTCCACGGACCATCTTTCTTTTCCTCAGGTGAGGTCTGAATAGCAGCAAAGGAGCTGGGCTGAGGACACGGCCGGCAGGGGAGGGCTTCCCCACTCCTCTAGGCACCAGGCCTTCTGCTCAGGGAAAACTAACACAAGCTGTGGCTGGGGAAACTGGGGCTCAGCTGCTTGCCCTAGCTTGCCCTGACTGCCCGAAGGCACTTCTGAGGGTCTCTGAAGCTCAAGCCAGAGTGGCCTAGAGAAGAGAAGCTGTCACCCATTAGTACAAGACTCTGAGAGCCGCCACTCTCACAGTGAGGCCTCTTGAGAGGGGACTGTGTTTTCAAGTCAGCTTGGTAGTTGAAAACCAAGTACAAACCCTCCTTGAAAATTCCCAAGGAAGGCCTGGTCAGAGGATGGAATAAGTGTCCCACTAAGTCCCACATGGCCCATTCTTCCTCCAACCTTGAAAGGCCTCTGATCAGAGGAAGTCCTGGGCTTCAAATTCAGGACGTGGTGTTAAACAGCACCATCACTCTCAGCACTTGCAGTTAGATTTGCGGCACTGCCGAGCAGTGTAGCCTGTGTACCCCAGGCTCTTAAAGTGGTTTTGAAGGACGCAAACTTGGAAATACTTGTCCAGCTTTTGTTTTGAGACCAGGTCTCACTATGTATAGACTGGCCTTGGACTCACTATGTAGCTCAGGCCAGCCTCAAACTCATGGCAGTCCTCAGACCTCAGCCTCCCAAGTGCTGGGACTGTAGGCATCCGCCACCATGCCTGGCTTTTTATATTTTTGAGACAGGGTCTCACTATGTAGCCCAGGCTGGCCTCCACTTGTAATCCTTCTGTCTCAGCCTCCCACCTGAGGGGTTATAGGTGTGCTCGTCCACACCTGGTCTAAACTGTCGTTTTATGGAGGCTCCATCTTGGACGCTTCACAAAAGCTTCTTGTAGACTCGGTAGAAGTCAAACCCATTGCTTCCTCCCCATCTCACTCTACCCTCACTTCTGCTGCCAGCACTCATTTGCAGGTGGGTTTTCTGGGGTTTTAGGGTGCAGCTGGTGGGGATAGGGAAGTGCGGTGATCTCACCAGGCCTGGTGAGTGTGGAGGGCTGACCTTATTCCAGTGCAGACCCTCAGAACAGGATGGAGCAGGTTGGAAGTGTTACTGCTGGCTGGGATCCCCGGGTCCTTCCTGGTGTGTAAAGCTGTGGAGGGTTGTGAGAGACAATGTGGGGTGAGGTGGGGATGGAAGTGAAGCTCCCAAAGGGATTTAAGAGAAAAGAAGGATCTTCTGACTTGGTTTGAGTGTCTTCAGTTAGTCCTCATCCCCAGGTTCTATACTGCTGGCCGCCTTCTGGGGCAGGAATTCAGGCGGAGGCTCTGAGCTGCAGGGGCTGGTAAGCGGGATCACCTGCGCCCGAGACTTCCAGAATCCAGCCCTTCGCACTGAGTGCATGAAGCCTGGTGACCACTGTCGAGTCCCTTTTGCACGTAAGCTTCTCCTGCTGCTGTTTCCGCCTCTCCCAGCTCAGTCCAGTGGCGTGCAATATGTCCTAGCCTTGAGGAGCTGGCTGTCTCTTCTACCTGTACCTCAACTTGGAAAATCCTCACCAGGCCGTGATTGCTTAATGTGACCCAGTGACCCAGCTATCTCCAGATATTTGCCTTTGTAGTATTTTGGTCATGGACCAGCTGGCAGTGCCTTTCATCCCCTGGACAGTGCTGCTTTTCCCCTAGTGACCTGACCTCGGTAGACTCACTGAGGCCACATAGTCACACACAGCCAGTCGTCCTAGGTAGGAACAGGGCCTGGTGAAAAGGCACCCTGCTAGACTATATTTCATTTACCACCTGATGAAGTGGCTGAGCCTGGGGGGCAGGATGGAGGACACACACTTGTGATAGGGACTTAAAGGGCCACCAAAAAACATGTGGCCTTGAGTTCCAGTAGCTCTGGTATGCCCTTGAGCCAACAAGAGGTTGTGGGCTGGGCTGCTAGGCCATCTGGACACACAGAGCCACAGCCAAGCACTCCCACCCTACCTTTCCAGGCTGAGGTGCCCCAGAGTGGCTCTAAACCCTGAGATGCTCCTAGCATCCTCAGGTGTCCTAGTAATGGGGGGGGAGGACACTGAGATTTGAGTCTCTGAGCTTGATTCCTACAATGAACTTCACTTTATCCCCCTTTGTGATGAGGATTCTTATTTGAAGGACAAGTGCAGCTGATTTGAACTGCTAGTATGACCAAGCCACCCTAGGTTAAGACATGCAGTTTATTCCTGAAAAGTGTCCTAAACCAGCTTTTGAAATGAGATGCTGGTGGCCGCCTTCTGATGGCAAATGGGTTAGGATGAGGATTCACTGCCCAGGTGCATAGGCGCCAGTATCACGGCACCTGGTTTTTTGCAGAGTGAGTTGTACTGAAGGGTCCTCTTGGCCCTCCAAGCATGTGCATTTAAGCAGCCTGGAGTGAGGGGAAAAAGGGATGATTGGCTGTAATAGCTGGAGTCATCACAGAATAATCCAGGTGGAGCCTGTGGATATTTCTGGTCCATCCTATAACTATTGAGAGCACCTCTGGCTTCTAATCTAGGTTCCCATTCCTCAGGTTCTGTTGGTTGGGGTCTTTTGGTTCCACCAGGCTAGAACCAGGTTGGTTGTAGGGTTCTGTGCCTGTGTCTTGAGGAACAGCTGGAACCGATTTAGGAGCAGGGGTTGCTGTTTACTGCTTGGTTTCAGAGGTGGCAGTTCGAGCAGCAGGAAGTTTAGTGTGTAGTGGGTGACGGCACCTGGGACTCAGAGCCTGTCCCCGATCTGGGTGGAAGAATGAGGGTGCCTACGTCTGGTTACTGGAAAACTAACATTGACTACTTTCCCCCACTTCTACCAAGTACAGAAATGTGGGAATGGGGTCATGTGGTAAGACCAGAGATCGGAACTACTGAAGCTGTAAAAAAGGAAAACTAATTTTTGTTTTCTTTGAACCTCGGTCAGGATAAGAACTGAAATAACTGAGAAATGAAAAGAGCTGTACAAATATGGATTACTCATGACCTTGTACCTCAGCATGTAGAAAATGCTCAGTGTGTATTTGTTGGCTGTTCTTTACTGACCAAGCACACTTGATTTGATCTAATTCTCACTTTACAAATAAGGAAACTAAGGCTTAAAGAGATTTATGACTAAATCTGTATCTGTTCTTTCCTTCGGTAAGGAAAGACTTAGCAGTTGATGTTGGAGTTTGTTATCAGAGACAGCCGGTTCTGGAGAGGCCTCCTGTCCTATTCCTTTGGGGTCAGGGGCTAAGGGCTGGTGAGACGAGACGATGTCCTGTCCCAGGGCCAGAGGAGAGGGCTGGTCTATCGAGCTGCTTTTCTGGCCCCTTGAGGCAGTCAGCAGGTGGTCTGGGTGCACGTGGAAGGGAACTGAGGTGCTCTAGGAAGGCAAGGTCTGTCACTGTTGGTGCCAGAGTGGAAACCCTGAGGAGCTGAAGGGGAGGGTGGGCAGTGAAGGGCTCCCAAGTTACAGGTTACATCTTGGTGGTACATAAAGCCTGTAACATGGTAGGGGAAAGATGAATTAGCTAGGGGACAAAACAGGAGGGGCATTCAGAAGGGAGCTGGAGATAGTGCAGCGCACTTGTGGTGTGCTGAGCACTGTTAGGCACTGGGGCTACATGGATAACTAGGCTAAGCTTCCTGTTCTCAAGCAGCTTAGAGACAGCGGCTTTCCCAATAGAAAGAGGAAGGCACTGGAGTCTGTCCCCTGGGGCTGGGTGAATGAGCCCCGTGAGTCTCCCTCACTCTGGAGGCTGGCCTCCAGCTATGCCATCGGAAACAGCTCCATTGGAAACAGCTTCCTACCTCTGTCTCCTTCGGAGAATGCAGGATGGGGCAATCCCTTGGCCTGGGGCTGTCTTGCCCCTGCTGATGCAACTGTGGCCCAGATAACCTGCCTGGCAGACTTCCTGGGAGGCAGAGGCGGGAGTGGGACAGCAGCTTCTTCTCGTGCAGGTGAGGCAGGTATCAGGGAGGTCTGGTGGAGTAGTTGATCATGAGGAAGGAATGGGAGTGTCCTTGCTTGGGGGAGGACAGTTCATGGCCCTGGTACAATCAGGCAGGCAGGTAGGGGCCCCACCCAGCTCCTCCCTGAATCCCAACAGCTGCCCCACAGAGCACACTCGAATGCTAAATGAGCAAAGAAATGGGTTACTACAGTGGAAGGTGTCAGAGAGATTCAGAGATTTGTGAGGAGAGATAGGAAAGGAGGTATTGGATCCCCACACTGAGTTTTATGCCTGCTTTCCTTAGTCCTGCATCTCTCTCTCTCTCTCTCTCTCTCACACACACACACACACACACACACACACACACACACACACACACACCTACCTACACCTACCCATTCTCTTGGCCCTGTGGGAAAAGCAGGGAGGAGAGCAAAGGCAAAGCTTGGTTTAAGGAGCTGGTCAGGCCTCTGGGGCTAGGGGCTGCAGCCACTGGAGAGAAGGGTACAGGGGCTGGCTAGCTGCAGCTCTCTAATCTTCCTTTCCAGCTTCTCAGGGGGTGGCTCTCTGGGTTCCTCTTTTCTCCTTACTCCCTTTCTCCCTCCTGCCCTAACCCAGTCCTCTTTTCTGTGCTTCAGATCTGTAATTCCTGATGTCTAATGACATCACAGCCCCTACAGAGGTCATAGGCAGTGGAAAATACTCAAAGGCATATAAAACCAAGCTCTCATTTCCAGCCTTCTCCTGTCAGGTGGAGCAAGTAGCCCATAGCAAACACCTTTTCTGACCTCCTTTTTCTCACTTCTCATTTTCATCAGTTGCAGCACCCTATCAATGGTGTTTCCTAAACTAACTCTTAATCCTTCTCTTTATCACCTCTAAACATGGACTGTTGGCAAAAAGCTCTGGAATTAGCTTTCTGCAACCATTCTGTGCCTCTTCAACCTCTGTAGCCCTGGAATGATTGATTGTCTTAGGACATAAAGCTGATTAGGTCACAGGCCCACACTTAAAATTTTTCAGTGATTCTCCATGGCCCATGACACATGAAGGCCTCCTCCCCCAGCCTTGGCAACCTCTCATGCTGTGTTCCTCCAGTCCCTGGACCCCATAGCCTGTGATGCCTTGATCCTGGGACATGTACCCTTCCCTCCTCAGGTCTGATAATCACTCCTCAGTCTACATCTGCTCAGAAGCCACATCCTCCCTGAAGCTGTCTGCCTAGACTGTAATTGATTAGTACTCGCCACCCTGTCCTGGAATCTCATACACATATGGCCCTTGTCATCACTCACAACTCAAGGGAAAGAACCACATGAACCACAGAATGCACTGGGTTCAGTGGCCATTTGGAAGTATAGACACCTGCCAACAAGCTCTTGTCTCTTTCAGTAATCTTGGAGGCAATGTCATCAATGAGGTGGTCTTGAATTTGCTTAAGGCTGGATGGACCCGGGAAGCAATTACAATGGAACACTTGGAGCCCCATCTCCAGGCAGAAATTAGGCAGTCCACAGGTGAGTGGCTGATTCCCAGTCAGGCAGAAAATAAGCATCTGGTGAGAGCCATGGTTGGATTTGATTAGTGTCTGTGGTGATTCTGTGTTTATAAGGTGGACACGGTGCTTGAGACCCCAGAGGACATGTCACAATCATGTTGAATTGTCAGTTTTTGGTGGCAAAATAAAAGTGCCAAAGAATGCCTGAACTTTTCTGAAAATGCTTTGAAAGGGCTGTTTGCACTGGAGATACAGGCAGCGGTCTCTGAACCCCATAAACTCTAGTCTCACTGTGAGAATTGGAGTGTTTCAGCCTTCAGACAAGGGTAGAATTGTTCCACCTTCTGCTTTCTGACATCAAACCAAGTCACAGACCTGGCAGTCATGTCCCCACTCTCCCTGCTTCACTGCACATTCATGTTACTATGTGCAGTGCTCTTTACCTCAAGGCATAAAGAGCTGTATGGCTCTTGGCACATGCTGCAGAGCCCCACTGGAGCTGGCATCTGAGATCAGATCTTGCCGAGGCCTTAGATTCAGGGACACCTTAAAACTCCAGCTGGGTTCAGCCCCAGGTCAGAGTTCATGTAACTTTGGGTCTTGGTTTCAGAGAGTAGCTTTGGCCACAGCCATCTTGTGAAGGAGAACCTGATTGACTTCTTTGTCCCTTTCCTGCCACTGGAGTACCGTCATGTGAGACTGTGTGTTCGAGACGCTTTCCTGAGCCAGGAGCTCCTGTACACAGAAGAGGCCCTGGATGAAGTTGCCAAGATGATGACCTATGTTCCCAGGGAGGAACAACTCTTTTCTTCCCAGGGATGCAAATCTATTTCCCAGAGAATTAACTTTCTGCCTTGAAGGCTTAATGAAGACTTCTGAAGATGCTTTGCTCCACTAACAAAACTCTGGGACCCGCCAGGCCACTAGTTGGCATCCAACAATGGCTAACACACAACTGGTGCATAAAAGGAAAGGCTTACTTTCGAAGCAGAGTCAATTCTTAAAATCACTTGGTGCCTTACAGACCCATACTCCAAAACGTGGGCCAGGAAGCTGGAAAAGCCAGAAGGAGATCAGCAAATTCCAAGGGCTTGTTCAGCCTCATGATGGTCTCCTTGGCATTGCAGCTCTTACTGGCAGATGGCTGGTTTGGGTTTTGTGCTTCCAAGGGTGCAGGGTTCTTGGTTTAGCAAAAAGAGAAGAAAGAAGTTCTATGGCCTAGTGAAGGGGAGCATGCCATGAGTTTGCAAGCTAAGTGGGCTGGTTCTTAAGTTATTACTCTCAGAAAGCTGAACAGCCTCTATTTGTGAGTGCATCAGCAGAGTATTAAGCTAAAAGTGCACAGAGGAAGATACTTTTAAAATCATGTGAGGGTTGTTCTGGTCTGCAGATTGAAAAAAAAATTTTTGGGGGGTACCAGGGATTAAACTCGGCTTCCTGTGCTTGCGAGGCAGGTGGCGAAACTGAGCTAAATCCCCGGCCCTGAAAAAAAATTTTTTAATTAGGGGCCTTGACATAAATGATTATGTCATATGTGAAGATTAAAATTTTGTATTTTTTAAACATATGTGACCTATTTTCTTATTGAGAACTAGTAATTAGGCTCACTTAGCAAAACTTCAAATGGCAGGTAGTCTTGGTGGGGACTGGTGGAGATGGGGTGGATGCTGGCAGCCACAGAGCTGGCAGAGTATGTAGCTGGTCTGCCGAATTGTTTTGAGATTTGTTTTGGGACCATATTAGCTGAGCTGGGTTATAATAAAATTTTAATGAAGAGGTTTCGAAGGCACAGTGCTGTTAAATATGAAAACATTCACTCTTATATTCTCAGCTTTAAAAAGGAAAAAAGTCATTTTTGGGGATTAAATGGCAATGTGCACACACCTCCCATTTCCCCCCCATTTCTTGGTTCTTCCCTTCTCCTGCACTTTTGGAGTAACACACTCATCTTTTGTTTTTGTTACCATCTCAGGTCCTCTCTTATTTAATGCCCTCTTCAACCCTCTCACCTTTAGCCCTTCTAAAATGGGACATTTCGGGCTGGAGATTTAGCTCAGTGGTTCCGCCGCCTGCCTCGCAAGCACAAGGTCCCGAGTTTGATCCCTGGTACCAAAAAAAAAAAGCTCTAAAATGGAACATTTCTGTCTCCCCCAATTACCACTTTACTGTGTTCAAGTACTTAAGTAACTGCCTCAAGGTTAGGGAGTACCTAGCCCAAGCCACATTCTTAAATACATACTCAAATGAGTTAAAGGAGTGTAGTTTCACACCATTCATGGTACATCAGTAAACTTGTCTAACTGTGCAATCAGATGGGGTGAGTTTTAGCTGCTGGCTCACCATCTTTCAGTCTAGACAGAGCACCTGTGGAAAAGCATGCAACTGTGGTCCAACCTGGATACACACTCAGCTGTAAACACTAAATACACACTTTAGAAGGTATAGTCTGTATCTATAAACCTCAGGTGCACAAAACATTGTCTTTTAGCACTGACCAGCAGTGTTTGGGGTCATAAATACAGGTCTGAACTCCCACCTCAGGAACTAAGACAGGGAGGAGAACACAGTGGTTCCAGACACATTCCCAAGCCAGCCTGCCTGGGCAGGAGTTCTGATTCCACCACTTACCACTGTGAGACACCAGGAAAGCTACTTAAAACCATTTTAACTTTAGCTTCCATTCAGGCATAACTACATACCTCACTGGGTTGCTGGGGGAATTTAATGATTTAATCTTTGTAAAAGCGCTCGGGACACAGAGCTTCAAATATATAAAGAAAAACTATTTTCCTCTACACATACCAAAGGTGTGGGTTTTCTGTTCCAAGCAAGTCTCCAGTTGCAGGTGGATACCAGCTGGATACCCTGCAGTTGCCTTAACCCCCAAGCCCAACTCCTTGAGGTCAGTGGAGGTCAAGGTGGTCTAAAGACTGCCATCCACTTCAGAGCCAACTGCAAGTGACGGGTCCCCTGGTTACCCAAGCTTCAGTCCAAGCTGGCTACAAATCAAGGGTTTCCATTGAAGAAAAGTCTATTTAGTTAGCTGATGAGTAAGGCAGCTAGGTAGGGGAAGGGCCTTTGATGGAGTTGGGTGATCAGCCATATTGATAAGAATTAAAATAAGAATAGACAGTGAACTAGGACTTTGGACCAAGAATGAAGAAATGCAGCCCCCTCCCTACTATAGGGAGTTCCCCCCACTTTCTACTAAGCTTCTGAATTTTAAGGTATGTAAAATGGAAAATAACCATTTTTTCCCCCTCTAAAATCCCAGTTTCCTTTAAACCCTACAGGTTGAAGAACTGGGTTAAAGAGTCTGATTTCCAACTGGTGATTTTAAATCCACAGAGCCACCTAAGATAGGTGGCCACTAAACAACTGGGCATTTCCTGTGGCCTGCTTATCCATATTAGCTCTGGATTGAGGGGCCATGTGGCCACACACTTGGAACCCCTTCTGGAAATCCAGAAGCTATCCTTTTTTTTTTTTGGTAACAGAGTTCGAACTCAGAACCTTGGGCTTGCAAAGCAGATGTCTGAGCTAAATCCTCAGCCCCAGAAGCTATTCTTATTTCCAATAAATAAAAAAAAAACCTAACATCCGCCATTGGTTTGTGACTTCATTTTTCATTTGTGGAACCATAAGCTCCATCCACACAGGTAACACACAATCCCTTCCCAAGCTGGATAATTTGCACAGAACTCAAGCAAATACTGCTGGCAGCCATTATAAAGGATACAACTCAGGAACAGCTGATAGAAGAGCTGCATAGAGCAGAGCGCTTTGGGTCTGGCAGTGGTGCTGAGGCAGGAGATTCAGGCTAAGCGAGTGGGCATGATCTGTCAATGAGGGACATCCAGGAGATGCATAGAAAATCAGTTCCCAAGGTCCTGCACGTGGGACTCATGAGAACTCCAGCAGGTTCTGGCTAGGATGGCTTAGATTATCTATCAGTCAGCCTGAGGAGTGGGAGGTATAAAAAACAGCTGCCATTAAGTACTTGGCCCCTGTGCTGTCTTGGCCACCCTGTAGAGTGTACTTCTTTCCCACACTCCCTCTTGCAGTGCATATTTCTTCTCCTACCTTTAATAAATGTAAAACCTTGCTATCATTTTTCCTTGTTTTGTCCAATTCTTTGCTCAGGACAAGAAGACCCTAGAAAGAATCTCTAGAAGTAGTCCTGAGTCCCCAGGATCCCAGAACTCAGTAACAGTGCAGATCTTCCATGCCCACTTCTAGGTTCCACTCTACCAGTACCACCATGTATTTAACCAACCTGGAAGCTCTCCGAAAACCATCATTTGTTATTTTTTGGTACCGGGAATCAAACTCAGGACCTTGTGCTTGTGAGGCAGGTGGAGGCACCAATGAGCTAAATCCCCGGTCCCATCATTTGTTAGTTTTATAGAGGCTTTATTATGTATTCACAATTGATGAATCATTGGCCACTGGTGATTAAGTCAATCTCCAGTCCCTCTTCTCTGCCAACAGTGGGGCTGAAAAAAAGTAGGGGTGTGAGGCAGAAAGTTCCAAATTTCTTATCACATCGTTGCTTCCTCTTGCAACCATCCCCAATTCTTCAAGAGTCAATCATTAGTACAAACTTTGGTAGGGGTGAAAAGGGATTGTAAATAACAAAAGATGTTCCTCTCACCACTAGGAAAATTCCAAGGGTTTTATGAATACATGTTATAAAACAATGTCACAAGGTGTTTAATAAAAACAAACCTAATAAAACTGTGTTAAATTTCTTGCTCAAAGTTACAAAGTTAGCAGGTTGATGGAATGGGGATTCAACCCCAAGAAGTTTGACTCCATCTTCTGTGCTTTAATGATGTTTGTTTCTAGAACTAATTTCCTTACCAAATGCTAGATCAGGTGTGGATAAAGTGACAATACAAAGAGGGAGAAGATCACAATGGGAGATTCTCTCTGGAAGATTCTAAAAACAAAACTTCTTAAACTCAACTGAAAATGGATGGAAGAAGAGGAAAAGGAGTGTAAAGAGGTATATAAACTCTGCTTAAAACCCATTCTAACTAACCTAATTGTCTATTTGTACCTAGTTAAGGTAACTTCTAAAAGCAGTAACTCATTAAAAACTTTTTAAATACAGAGTCAACACGAACGTAATGTTCGCTTTTGAGCACCTACAGTCTATTAATACTGTTCTGGCGCAAAAGATTTTTAGAACTTATTTGGAGTTTCCCTCAGAATAGATTTTGAGAGAATTAAAATTTCCTATACGATCACCTCCTATTGGTGACACAGACAACACACACAGACACTTTGTATGCACCAGCCTGGGCTCCAGAAGATGCCTTGTGTCCACTTCCAAAAATGAAGACATGATGTAGAAAACAACCATCTCCTATTCAATAAACTAGGAACCAACAAAATGGCAGTAGTAAGTCCTTACCTATCAATAATTACCTGGAATATAAATGGACTAAATTTTCCAATTAAAAGGCAGAGAGGCTATAGGGATTAAAAACAGGATCTAACAGGGCCGGGGATTTAGCTCAGTGGTTCTGCCACCTGCCTCGCAAGCACAAGGTCCCAAGTTTGATCCCCAGTACCAAAATATTAAAATTTAAAAATAAATAAATAAAACAGGATCTAACAATGGCTTCAAGAAGACATGTCACTGTTAAGAATGAAACTGAAGAGCTTTAAAAATTACGAATACAAGGTAAACTATTTGTCCCACTTCTTCATGCTCAGAGTGACAACTGCAACCCACAGCTCTGGCACCAAGGAAGTTTCAACAGAACGAGACTTTCAACATTGTTCTGGACTAGCTGCTGGGCCAAAGCCTGGCTAAAGCCTGGCCAAATCTACATTCCCTATTTCCTCACTTTTTTGGGAGGGGTACCAGGAATCAAACTCAGGGTCTCGCAATTGCCTGGCAGGTGCTGTGCCACTGAGCTACATCCCCAGCTTTTCCTCACTTTTATTTTATCCCTCCTTTTTTATTTATCCTTCTAAGTGTTTGGCTAGATTGTGAATAAACTCATTTTTCCTTTTGTATAGGCTTTTACTCTTGATGTTGGGTAGGCAAATGAATCCAGATAGTTGGGGTCCAAATTCAGGCCTCTGGCTAGGTTCCCATAGCAAGGACAAACATAGACTGAAAGTGAAGAGATGGAAAAAGATATTTCATGTAAATGGAAACCAAAAGAGAGGAATGAAAATATATATATATATATATATAAAATTAAAAACCATAAAAGAGACAAAGATGTCATTATGCAATAATAAAGGGTCAACTGTGAGGATGTAAGAATTTTAAATATGTATGTATCCAGCAATGGAACACCTAAATTATATAAAGCAAACATTAACAGATCTAAAGGGAGAAACTACAATACAAAAATAGAAAAAATAACACCCTCTTAGAGCAACGGACAGATCAGACAGAAAATCAACAAGAAAACACTGAATTTAAACTGTACTCTAGACCGAATGGGCCTAACCATTTATTTATGTAACATCCCATCCGTTAGCTGCAGAACACACACTCTTTCCAACTACACATGGGACATTCTCCAGACACATCATATATTAGACCACAAAACAAGTCCTAACAAATTAAAGAAGACTGAAGTCATATACAGTAATTCTTTTTCCTTTTTCTTGAAACAGGATCTTACTCTGTAATTCAAGCTGGCTTTGAACTCACAGCCCAGGCTGGCCTCAAATTCAGAGATCCTCCTGCCTCAGCCTCCTGAGTGCTGGGACTACAGGTGTGCACGCCCACATCTGGCTCTCAAGTAATTTTTCTGATCACAATGGCTAAAACTATCCAGGGATGTAGCTCAGTGCCACTGTGCCTGCCTGGCAAGTGCAAGGTCCTGAGTTCGATTCCCAGTATGGAGGGGATTAACAATGTCTAAAAACTAGAAATCAATGTGGGGTAGGGACTTTGGAAACTACAAATACACAAAAATTGAGCAACATGCTCTGGAACAACTAATGGGCCAATGAAGAAATTAAAGGAAAATTTAAAAATTTCTTGAGACAAAATTAAAACACAACATAACAAAACTTAAATGATACTGCAAAAGCAGTTCTAAGAGAAAACTTCATTTTCATTTATTATTATTATTTTGTTTTTTTGAGACAGGGTTTTACTGTGTAGCCCAGGCTGGCCTTGAACTTGGCAGTGATCCTCCTTCCTTCGCCTCCCAAGTGCTGGGATTATAAGCCAGTGTTACTACATCTGGCCTAAGAGAAAACTGTAGCAATAAATGTCTATATCAAAAAGATCTTCAAAGTAAATAAACAAAAATATCTCAAACAACCTACCACTGCACCTCAAGAACCTAGGAAAGCAAGAACAAACTAAACCCAAAATTAATAAGAAGGAAAGAAATAATTAACATCAAAAAAGAATGAAATGGACCTTAAAAAACACAAAAGATCAGGGCTGGGGATTTAGCTCAGTGGTTCCGCCACCTGCCTTGCAAGCGCAAGGTCCCGAGTTCGATCCCCGGTACCAAAAAAAAAGACAAAACAAAAAAAACCACACAAAAGATCAAGAAATGAGCTGGTGTTTTTGAAAAGATAAACATAATTAACAAACTCTTATCCAGACTAAGAAAAAGAAAAAATGAAACTTGAAAAAAGAGATATAACGGATGTCACAGAAACACAAAAGATCATATGATACAATTATGAGCAACTATACACCATCAAACTGGATAACAGAGAAGAAATGAATAAATTCCTGGACACATACAGCCTACCAAGATTAACTCATTAACTCATGAGGAAACAAAATCTGAACAGACCTATAATGGTTAATGAGCATTATGGTTTGGTCTAGATGTCCCCCCGCAAAGCCACACGCAGTGATAGGTGGGGCCTTTTCAGAGGTGGGTGTGATTTTTTTTTCTTTTGGTACCAGGGATTGAACTTGGGACCTTGAGCTTGCAAGACGGGTGGCAGAACCCTGGGCCAAGGGTGTGATTACTAAGTTAGTCCACTGATTAGTTTGACATAGTTCTGGGTAGAATTAAAGATGCCCCACACTGGGTGTGAGTGCTATCCACTCTAAGCGTTGGTAGGCCTGGCTAAGATATAAGGGACAGAAAGAGAGTTGGTCTCTGGTCCCTTGTCACTTGATTCCTTCTCCATGCCTCCCTGCCTTGGAGCCAGCCAACTATGCACTGAAACCTCTACAAACTGTGAGCCAAATAAACCTTTCCTCCTTTAACTTTAGGTGTTGGGTGTTTTGTCTTAGCAATGAGAAAAGAACTAAGACAATCAGTAATAAAAAAAAAAATTGCCCATCAAAGAAAACCCAAGGACTTGGTAGCTTCATGTTGAATTCTACCAATTAAAGAACCAATACTAGGGCTGGGGATTTAGCTCACTGGTTTTGTCACCTGCTGCACAAGCACAAGGACCCGAGTTCAATCCCTGGTACAAAAAAAAAAAAAAAAAAAAGAACCAATACCAATTCTACTCAAATTGTTCCAAAATACTGAAACTTAACTTTATGAGGCTCATTGTACATCACTTTGATACCAAAACCAGACAAGGATACAATAACAACAAAAAGAAAACTATGGGCTAATATCTCTGATGAACATAAATGCAAAAATCCTAACAAAATACTAGGAAACAAAATTCAACAGAACATTAATAAAGAGCATATATGGCCAGGCCTAGTAGCACACACCTGTTAATACCTGTAATCCCAGCACTCAGGAGATAGGCATGAGGATCCCAGCAAGTTCAAAGCCTGCAGAGGCTCCACAGTGAGTTCAAGGCCAGCCTGAACTACATAGTGAGACCCTGTTGAAACAAACAAACAAAGCAGAATAAAGGACATATATAATAACATGGATGGAACTGTGTGTCACACAACCTCACTCCTATGTGGAAATCTAAGAAAGTTGATCTTACAGAAGAGTAGAATGATTACCAGAGGCTGGAGAGGCAAGAGGGAAGGAAAGACAGGAGAGAGGCTGATCAATGGGCACTAAGTTATAGGTAGGAGTGAAAAGTTCTAGTAAGCTACTTAATAGTAAAGTGACTTCAGACAACAACACATTGTATATTTCAACAAGCTGGCAGAAAGGACTCTGAAAATTTTCACCATAAAGAAATGATAAATGAGATAGGTTTAACCTGATTTAAACATTATATAATGTATACAATATCAAGACATCACGTATAGCTCATAAATATGTACTAGTTTATGTATTAGTTAAAATTTTTAAACTTAAATTTAGAAATAAAATGCACTTTCAGCAGGACTGTTTTAAATACATTATGATTATATATATAATCAGATATACATATATTCTTTAGAAATGTTGAAAAAATATACATACATATACGTACACACAAATTTAAAATAGAACTACCTTATGATCTATCAATCTCACTACTGGGTATATATCCAAAGGAAACGAAATCAGTATGTCAGAGAGATATCTGTATTCTCATGTTGTTTATTATAGCACAATTCACAGTAGTCAAGAGATAGGATCAACATAAGTTTCCATCAGCCAATGAAAGGATAAAGGAAACACACACACACACACACACACACAAATGGAACACCATTCAGGCATAAAAAATGAAATCCTGTCATGTGTAGCAACGTGGATGAACCTGCAAGACATTAAGTTAACTGAAATAAGGCACAGAAAGACAAATACTGAATGGTCTATTCAAATATGGTATGAAAATAAGCCGATTTCAGAGAAGTAGAGTAGAGAAGACTAGAGGATAGAGAGGGGAAGAGCTAAGTGAAATAACAAGAGACTGGTTAATGAGTACCACAAAGTTAGACAGGAGAAACTAATTCTGCTATTCTTTTGCACAGAAGAGGGATTACGGTTAAAAATACTGTAACTGAGTATTTCAAAACAGGTAGAAGAAAAATAAAAAATTTTAAAAACAGCTACAAGAGAGAATTTTGAAGGCTCCCACCACAGAGATACCAAATGTATAAGATCATGGATATTCTAAATACCCTGGTTTATTACACAATGCACACATGTATTAAAAGATCACACTATACCCTATAAATATCTACTGTTATTTATGTGTCCATCAAAAGCAAAGTTTTTTGTTTTTTGGGTTTTTTTGGTAATGGGGATTGAACTCCGGTCCTTTCACTTGAGCAGCAGGTGGCAAAACCACTGAGCTAAATCCCCAGCCCAAAAGGAAAGTTTTTTAATAAAAATTAAAAAAGATAAAAATAAAATGTTTTTAAGGGTCTATATTTACTCTATGAATGCTACTTTGGCTGAAAACATTTTTAGAACTTATTTGGAGTTCTCAGATGGATTTTGAGAGAATTAAATTTCCCTTTAGCCATCTCATATTAGAGACACAGATACTGAAGATACACACATAACCCACCTTATTATGTATACCAGCCTGGACTCCAGATGATCCCTTGTGTAAAAAAATGCAGTTCATCAAAGGACGAGGATTCATCCCAAAGAGGACACTGTAAAGGCTGTGCCAAAGGGAAGCGCATTAAACTCAGCTTCTTCCCCTTACAGGCATCTATTTTGTGTAGCTTGCCTACATTCCCTGTCAATTAAAATCAAGGGAGAAACACTCCAATCTCAAGGCTACTTTGCCAATAAAATATTGTAACCTTTATTTAAAACAAAACACAACTTGCAAACCTTGTAAGACAACAGGCAGAGAGCGGTCCCTTTCAAGGGCATCATTTATTTACATCAAGTTTAACACTGTTAGCAGTTCACAGTCAGACAACAGAGTGAGAGAATTAAATTAGAAAAACAAAGCAACTGAAAATATATTACAATAACAATTAAGAACAAATACCTGACAAAACTGGTAGTGTGACCCATGACTGACGCAGTTAAATCCCACTTTGTCTCACTGTGTACTGTGTCCTCTTAGCAATGCACACAGTGCCCAATGCTCCAGACCTCACCCTCTGCACCACATACACCTGCAGAGCACAACCTTTGGTATAAACATTAAATGAGTTTTAAAGAATTTGAATTGGCATGTTTTAGGACAAGGTTCTGTTATTCATCATGAAGTGTTCAAACATTTTTACCAAGAAAGCGCAAAACTGGGGTTTCTCCACTGATAGTCATTACACAATCAGATTGCAAGAAGGCAAAGTGTGGGGTCTACAAGGGAGACTGGGGTTGCATCTGCATTAATAGCTCAGTCCGCCAACACACCAGTCATGCCACTGCTTCTGTCCACTACAAAGAAAGATGTGATTTACTCCTCTTTCACTCATTCCCCCTCTTCTTAATGGGCACAGCAAGAGCATATGTGCACTTACATAAATGTATACCTTCATGTAGATGAGATGTGATGGGGTTTTTTTTGTATGGGGGGTCGAACTCAGGACCTCGCATTTGTGAGGCAGGTGCAGTGCCACTGAGCTAAATGCCTGGCCCTGTGATGGTTTTTAATTTCCCTAACGGGTTTTCAAATATATGCACCGAAGAACTATAAGGGTGAGTACCTCATTATCCTTTATAGTTTCTGAGTACTAATTTGCCTGGCTAATCAAGGTAATGTCTCAAGATCTCAGAAAATGCTTTTCATAATGGAGTCCTAAGTGGCTACAGTAAAAACAGGCTGTCAAAATGGAAGAAAGCTGTCTTATCTGTCCCTCACCTATCAGAAGCAGTTCTGTCTCCTGGCATTTTTGCCACTCACAATACATGGTATGGTTCTTGGAAATAAAATTGAGCAGTATTTGGGATTTTTTCATTGATAACTCTGAAGCATTGCAGTGTACTGCAGTATCTTCTAAATCAAGAATAAATTTGGCCTACCTCTTTATTCTTTTTGTGTTATAATGGCAAAAATTAGGTACCCAGATGTCAAAATTTTATTAACCCCAAGTCCCAATCTCCAGCTAAATTTTGTGATACCTAAATGATTTAAAACTCCTATTTGGAGGCTCAGAAGCAAATCTAATCAATTTCCAACCACAAAACTCCCTGTATTTCCTATCATAAAGCTTGCTAGCATTTGAATTTGCCTGCAACATGTCCTAAAGGGCTCACAGCCTGCTCAGAGTCCTCTATGCACACAGCTCAGCAGCTTAGTCATATGCAGGACCCTAAAACTTGCTGTTGTACGTACAACGATGAACAAAAAACCCCACAGGACAGAATTTAGATATCATAATTCTGCCTTGAATGTGGTATGGTCTAAGGACAGAGTTGTGCTTAGTCTTTCAACTTACAGTAGAGATCATCCATCCATCCATCCATCCATCCATCCATGCATCTTTTAGGTGGTCTGCAAGTCTGAAGACACACTCAACATGACATCTGTTACCTCTGTCCATGTTAAAAGGACTCTGCTACTGTGTTCAGGTCGCTCAGCAATGGAGAAGTTAAAAGATACAACTTTTCTAGGAGAGGTAAACAATTTCAAATTTATAGTTGTACATAGGAGCAAAGAAGTAAGTGCATTTGGAAGGAGGGAGGGAAGGAACCAATGACAGCACCCTTCCCTCAGCTCCAAATAGGATTGAGAAAAGTGCAGCAACCTGCCACATCAGCATTCTGTGTGAGGAAAACACCTCAAGTGGGGCAGTCACTGACATAGGCTGAGACCCAGTGAAGCGCATTTCTACCAGATCTAATTCAACACTTAATGCAAAATCAACCCAGCAGACAACACTTTTCCTTTGCAAGACTCAGAAACCCATCTTTGAAGGCACAAATCTCTACGGGTGACCTCTGCCACCCCAAGTCAGCTTAGAATCAAACTAACCTGCTGTCGGCCTCCTTACCCAAGGAGAACCAGAGAAACTTCTTACCCTGATTACACAGGGTAGAGCCCTTCCTAAATCCTGGCCTTTGGATCTAAGATAGTAAGTCAGACATGGAACTCTCATCTTAAATACACTCAAGACAGACCACGTGACGCAGGTGGGTGGCACAGAGAACAGCAGCCCCAGAACAGAAACACATGAGCTGGACATTTCAATAAGCCTTCCCAAAGACAAGCTGGAGCTGAGTGTCTCCCCTGAGTGACTGTTCTGCAGCAGCCTGATCCATGGCCCTGAAACCTACCCATGCTTCCTTAGCAACAGGTGAGCGGAGTGAATGGCAGTGAAGTTTGCCAACTGTAGTTGTGCTGAACAGGGCAGATAACTGTTACTCCAGGGACTACTGACTTGCTCCCCCACAACGCCAAAAGCTAGTCTTGCATTCAATTTTTAAAAGTCTAGTAACTGGAAAACTGGAACTCATTCCAAATAATGAAGAGACCTTTGACTGTTAAAGAACAGATTTTAAAGCAGCCCAAGGCCTCACCTCTTGACTAGTGAGGCTACAGCTAGCAGCATTTTCCCCAGCTGTCACATGGAAGGTGCAGGGACCCTTGGGCTGCCTATGTCAAGCCTGTCAGCAAACAGACGCTCCCTTGGAGTAGCCCACAAATTCCAAGCTGAAGCAAGAATTTTCAAAGGTGCTCAGCTACTGGCTTGGCAGAAACTAAGACAGAGATACAGTGGGAGTCTTTCAACCCAAGAGAGGAAACTTAAGCCCAGAGACCTACCTCTGAAAGAAGTACTGACCATTACATGCTTCAGGCAGAGATGGACCCCAGAACCAGGTAGAGCAAGTTAATGCAAGCAAGATGACAAAACCCAAAAATCACCAGAAACAAAAATATAGACAACCCTGTCAGGCCAATATGAACTCCTATTGGAGGCATAGCCTGCTAATGACATCAGTAGCAAAAATGGAAAGGAGTAAGAGAGGTAAGGATGTAGTGTAGCTGTAACTCAAAAGGAGCCACCACTGCCATTTATTCTTGAGTATTTCATAATCTAACAAGCGGATTAAGTTCAGCTACTCATTTTAGAATGAAGATACCATAGATGATAAACGTCAATGCCATTTTCTAGTGGGAAATCCTATAAAAGCAAAAATGCAAGTGCACTGGTTCTATGGCCATCCAGCCTCCTTCCCTACCTCCTCTCCCAAACTCTCACAGAACTACGCAGGACATAGGTTTAAAAAGACACTGTCAACACCAACAGGTAACAAGTCTGCCCCTACCACATTTAAGATGTTAATGGCTGTGTAGGGAGAAATAAATGTTCAAGAGTAAGAGGGCTTCATCCTTCTTGAGTTAAGGTCCTTGAAAGAGCTTCTCTATTCTGAAGTGAATACTCTTTACTGCTTTTAAAGATCAGAATTAAGCCAAAAAGTTGGTCCCTATTTTTGTGAAGCTATTCAGCATGAACAACTTTAGCAAAACACTATAGTTTTTATATTTATAAATGTGATAAATTACAGAGGTGATGCTTTATATATCTGCAGTTTCAGGTCCCACACAGGTAAAAGTCTTTAAGTCAATCATCCTCTAATCCAATGTTTTATCTTCTACACAGACATTCATAATACAACTTTATAGTTATATTAGATACTCTCTCAAAGTGCTTTCATGTACATTATCTCACAGTCACTAAAATGATACTGAACAATATTTTAAGAAAAAGGAATGTAGGACTAGTTTGTTTTTAAACTTGTTGTTATTTCCTTACTACAAAGTGCAGGACTCTGTGTTGCTAAGGTCAGTCCAAAAGAATGCCCCATATAATCTTTTAAATTACTGAGTTCTCCTGAATGCTTCTTTTGCTAGTGTCGCCATTATTCAACATTCAAGCCCCTTAAGGTTAGACTGTGCTGGGAGCATGTGCTTTAGAAGTGTGCAGATTGCAGACTGATTGTCTAGCTGAGCCACTTTTTTTTGCAGTGTTTCACAAGGCAGCAGGCATGTTGGAAAGATCCCATAACCAGAAGTCAGGAGACCCGAATTCTAACCTCAGCTCTGTCACTAACAAACTCTTTTGGATAATACTAGTAACTTAAACATCTCTAGTTTCATAACCTATTAAGAAAAAGATATCAATAGTTTTCAAACAATGTGAGCTTTCTGGTACACATGGAGAGATCCTTGGAAAACACACCGACCAAGACTTCATTCCATTGTTAATTCTGATCTGGGGTGGGGCTATTTAATCAGGGTTTTTTTAATCCTTAAGGGATTCCGTTGCACATTTCTGGATTAGGTATTATTAGCAGTTAGCATTTATGGAGTGCTCATTGTGTGCCAAGCACTTGAGCTAAGAATCTTATAAACTTTTATTTTATTTAATCCTTACAACAACCCTGAGATAGTGACTATTTATCCCTGTGTTACAATGAGGAAACTGAGGCCAAGGGAGGTTTAAAAAGTTGCTTCCTAGAATGGCTGTAGAGCGAGCCTGAACACCAGACCAGTATCTAAACTGCATCCTTTAATCTCAAAAGCCCCCTGACTTTAGTTAAATAAATATGGGTTATGCCTTAGCAAAGTCAGCATGTTTTATTAACTGAGAATAAAGTTTTCAACTGAATTGTAAGAAAATTCCTAATTTAAACTTTTATTTTTTACAGTACAAGGAAATGGACCCAAAGCCTTTGCACTGAGAAATATCCCAGTCCTTTTTTAAATTTTGAGACAGGATCTCAATAAATTATTAAGTTGCTGGGTTCCAACTTCCAATCCTCCTGCCTCAGCCTCTCCGAGTGCTGGAAAGGGTTTCCACGACAACGATCGCTATGTATAGAGGTCATCTAGAAAAACACTAAATAAATTTTTTGCATACCAGACCCAATAGCTTCGTACTGATGTCAGTGTACTGTAAGAACATGTGCAAGAGTTTTTTAAGGCTAAATCTCTGAAAATCACGATTGGAGTGTGCAGGAAAATGTAAATATTTTAATTTTACACCGTCTTTTAAGAGAATACTTTGTGTTAAGTACAATCAAGATGTATCCAACATGAAACACAGCATTTTTAAGGTGGGAAATCTAAATTGTAATCACATTATCTGTTCATGAAAACAATCAGGCTGTGGCATATATATATATATATATAGATGGACAGATATATCCAATTTAAAAATTTGTCAACACTGTACAAAAGCTTTTTCTCTTGCTATCTGCTTTCAGACTGGATACAATTAAACTGTAAGTTTCTAGAAGCAGTTTTCTGTTTTAGAGTCAAACATTTTCTTTACATCAGGTTTTTTTAGGCTAATCCTTTTCAAGTAGAAAAAGGAAAAACCTAAATTTTACTTTTATAGCAAGTTGACAGTGCCTCTTTAACCTGAACCCTAAACCCTCAACTCCTGAAGTTACACAGTTCAAGGATCATGTGGATGGTATGCTACAATACTTATTACTCATGACAGTGTACAGAAAAATCAATTCAATTTATGAATTTACTGAGCACCTACTGTGTGCAAGACAGAACTAGGTGCTGTCCCTGAGTAAGACAGAGCCCCTACCCACCACCTTTAAGACTGTTCTTCGGTGAGAAAACTAGGGAGCTGAAATACACTCAGTAGTGTTTCCCAATGCTTATTTTCAGAACTCTTAGAAAAAAAATAGAGCCTTTGCTTTTAAAAAAAAAAATCTCCTGAAAACAATTGTAATCCCTTTGCATTCCACAATGACAGGGATAAACTTAAAAAGCAGCATAATAATGTTCTAAAATTTTAGCTTTCCCCTCCCCACTTTTAAAAGACTAACTGCTAAAAGTCAGTTCAAGTTTATGGTCTGATGAGGGGAGAGGTAACGAAGAAGGTAGGAAGGAGGACTGGTAGGTTAACCTGATCACCAGCCGCCTATTCTCAGCTGCAGGTACCACATTGGCAGGGTCACCTGACACCTGCCAGGATGCCCAGTATCTCCTCCCTGCTAATCCTCCTCTCAACCTGGGCCTCCTCTGAAGCAGCAATGATAAGAAGAATCAAAGTGTCCTTTCTTTCTAACAAAAACAATTTCTTCCTTGGTCAAAGACACCCAAATATAGTTTCCCCTTTACTATGCTACCCTGATTAATATAAGCTCAGCAGTTCCAAATTTCTTTAGTTTCTATTACTCAGCAAAGAAGAGAATGATAAATTCAACATAACAATACTGCATTAAAGAGCTTTTGCAGAGAGGCTCTCAAAGGGGTAGCTGATACACTTATTTGCAAAATACCCTTGAGAACATGTGGTTCTGTTACTTTCATTCAATAGATCAAGAGATGGAGCTATGGCTTAACAGTGGATGGATGACAGAGCCAGGGAGAAAGCTCAAAGCTCAGTGTTGAATTCCTATCTTCCTAGGCTAACATCCCTTTGAGAGAAAAAACATTTTTATTGGGTTCTCTTTAGAGAGTGTGTGTGTATGTATGTGGGGTTATAGAACTTTAAAAAAAAACAATGAAATAACTGAAATTAGACACAACACTAAGAACATCAGTAATATATTATCCATTCGATTCAGTTCCTTCCTAATTAGCTTCCACAATTATAACTGAGTAGGAAAGGAAAAGGCCTATTTTTCAAGTGCAAAATAAACTTAAGAGTTGTCATTAGGTTTCCAGGATCTAACTGGTCCTCCCTGAAAATGACCTACTCCCTAAATTATGCACTCATAGAAGAGAGGTGAAATGACAAAATAAATAAAAAATATCCCCAATATGAACTATACAAACAAACATGATGGGCACGGGGACAGAAATTTGAGAGGAGAAAAGCCTGTGAGAATAATAAGAGGGTAATTCAAGCACATAGGGAGAGAAAATGCCTTCTCCAACTTTCTACCCACATTGGGAGTAAGATGATAAAGGAGGAGAAAAGAACAGAAAAACAGCCATTATCACCAAGGCAACTTTTTCTCTCAGTCATGGGGCTCTGGACCTGGCTGTCCCTTTCAAGAAGGGATCAGCACCTTAGTACTGTATTTTAGTTGACAAATATAGAGCTGCTCAAGTCCTTTGCCAGTAGTCAGTATGCAGGGGCACTGTGTCAGGAAAGACTTCCCAATGAGAACCTGTAGTGACCACTATTTTCAAAATCAATGTTGGTTAATGCCCTGTATGCTGCCAAAAATAAAGGAAGACAGCCTGCCCAGGAAGAAACACCAAGGAGACTCCTATACCTATGGTTTACAGATAGCCACCAATAAGCAGAAAGTCAATACTGGTCCATTAGGAAATAATACAGTAGACTGGGAGACGTGACTGCTAATCAATGTCAGATTTTAGAAGGAGGTTTCAATCTCCCTGACTGAACTTCCCAGCATTCTTTACTTCCTGCAACAACTAATACATCAAGGTGAATCACAGACAGGGCCACATTTCCATTTCATTCTAGCAATCTTATCTGCAGTTCTTAATACAATAGTAATGACCCATGGAAACAAGGCAAGAAGCTGCTTCCAACAGCCTTGAACAAACCTCTGGATACATTCCCAGTTTTCCTTTCTTCCCTCCCACCAAATCTGTTAGGTGATCACTCTTAGTACCTACCAGAGCCCCAGGTCAATGCCCTCTTTTGTGGTACAGAATGACTGGGAGCAGCCCAGTCTAGCATTTCACATGGTTCCAAGTAGGGATGGGCTGCATTTCTTTCTTTATGAAACAAACTTTCTCCCTGATTTTCCAGTGCAGTTTCCAATTTTGTCCACTGCTGCCTTTCCCCCATCCAATTTATATCTCCTATATAATGTGATTTGCTTTTGTTACTTTTGAGATGAACCTGTAAACGTGAGAACTCAGGGATCTGAGGTACTTCACTTAAACACACTCAAGTATCAGTCTTTCAATTTGAAAATAGGAACACAGGAAAACAAGTCCCTTTCCCTCTCCCCTCAGAAATGTGTGCATCCTCCCACTAGGCAGACAGTGGCTACCTCTGTACCACATCGCTGATTTCCTGTACACATGACAATAAGTTATTAAGGACAGGGTTTCCCCCGGGCACACCGGCAGCTGCTGAAGATACCTGCAGCTCCTGCAAGCTGAGTTCCAGTTTGCTCACGGCCTCACGGAAGGCAAACTTGTTTCGAGTCTGAGGGATGCAGTCCACATAGCCTGAGCAGTAGTCGAGCAGCTGGTGCCCCGTATCTACCAGCTGGCTATTGGGCACAGGTTCCGTGATTGCACTGGACAGTAGGTCAGCACATTCTAGAAGAGCCTCTTTGCTGATTTTGTCTGCTGAGATTTTCTCAGCCGCCTGTTTGGTTTTTCTCAGAGCCACTTTAGTACCTGCTGTGCCATTGGCCATTTTGGCTGGCGAGATGGAAGGTGTGGGCAGAGGCACTTGAGGCGGAGGCATCACTGGCCTCCCAGCTTTCCCACCTACAGGCACTGCCCCTGGAGATGCCTTTTTCCCTCCTTCCTGTATTTCTGACATGGGCTGTCCTGCAGGAGGCTCTTCTCCGGGGTCTGGGCATACAGACGAATGCTGCAGTAGTCTCATCACTGGTGGTGGGGGTGGGGCACACTTTGGTTTTACCCGTCGGGGTCGGTCCTTGTCTCCAGAGGATGTGCCCTGATGCTCAGATAAGAGCTTGAATTTATTCCCCTGAGAGTCTGTGCCGATGAGCTGCACGTCAGCTGGAGTGTGTTTTAGGGTGGGTGAGATGAGGACTGGCACTTTGTGGTTGTGGGTGGTAGGGAGGATGGCTGTAGCCTTGGCTGGAGAAGACCAGCCTGGCTGCTCTCCATCCTCTGGGACTCCAGCCATCCCAAGTCGGGCCCCACCATTCCTCTCCTTGCCTTTGGGGGCAGCTGCCACTCCAGCCACTCCTATCCCTGCAGAGTCCTTCTCTGTAATGGCTGGGTCCCCAGAGAGGGTTCTCAGAGGAAGAGGTGTGGCTCCTCTGGGCAACAGTTTGGCTTTTGGTCTCTCCCTGGTTGGAGCAGCACCTTCCTCTGATTTTTTTGGAAGCATGTCATTGGCCCTGTCCACATTCTCTTCTGGCTGAGAAGAGGTGGACACTGTCCTTTCCAGCTGGAGCTTGGACCTCTGGCAGTTCCTGGGTAGGGTCATTGCCATCCTATCCTGCTCTGGAAGCCCTGAGGACATGGAAGATGTAGAGTTTGACCTTGGAAAAGGCTTGGAAGTGTCATCACTGGCTGTGGGTTTACCTGCTCGTAAGCCCAGTGTCTTTTTGATTAATCGAGGTGTAAAGAAGCCTGTGATGCCAGACCACCCACCCCCAGCAGTGCCACTGCCCCCACCCCCACCACTGTCGTCATTACAGAAATTCCTCTGGGCAAAGCTCCCCCCACAGCACTTGGGTGGCACCAGATTCGTCTCTTGCTGGGCAGGAGTGAAAGAGAACCCATCAGCATGCTGTAGAGAAGCAACAGATGAGAAGTTACCCGTGAGTTCATATTTCTTATGAGGCTGATTCTCCATTTCTCGGAAGGAGCTACTGCGTTTAGGGGGTGTGGGAGCATTTCTCTTTTTCATGAAGGAGCTGAAGAAGCCTCCCTTCCTATCCCTGGTGAAGCATGTCTCTTTGGCATCTTCCAAGAGGCTGCTGGGTGACTTATCTCTTTGCTTTCGAGGCAGGGCTGGGGACCCTCCAGTCTGTGTACTTCTAATGAACCCTGAAGAAAAATGGGCAATCAATAATGTGAAAGACAAGAAATGAATCCAGTAGAATTACAAAAGGTCTGTCAGCATCTAGTAAATGTTAGGTGTTGGCAGTACTGAGGAAATAAATTATCATTTCACAGTGGTTAATATTCCAAATGTGATAGGGATATAAATGGGGGGAGGGTAGTCTGTTGCTTATTACCTCAGTATTTAACTTGTCTTAAAAATGAATACAGCTCAGTGAAGTTTTTGCTAGGACTATGAAGACAGTAATTATTTGGGTGCCAGAATCTCAGGAAATGGAGTAGTGACAGAGATGCATGTTGAACCGATAGATCAGGACTGCTAGCACTGGCTACAATTGTCCAAGGAATAAAGTGGGAGGTAAAACAGATGCCATATTGTCCACAGGGAAGATGGACATAAAAGCATCATATCCTATGGTCTTTAAATAAGCAGTTTCTATTTCCATCTTCATGGCTAGCAACTCTTACCTGGTGCTGAACTGGAAGCAGGATTTTCTGTGGCATCTTGTGCCCCTTCAATGTTCTCCTTGTTCTCCGCCTTTTTTAGCGTCCGAGTTTTGGAAGGAAGTATAGGTAATCGGGGCAGATATGGAACAATAGATGAGGAGGAGGCAGCTCTCCCGAGCTCCTCAGCTACCTCTGTGAAGAAAACAACAGCACTGATAGAAACAAAAATTTTATGGAGAAAAGTTTTTCTTTTCAGAAAAGATATAGAACTGAAAAGGAAATGGAGTATAAAATAGTATATAAATGCAGCAAGGTGTAATGGCATGTGCCTATAGTTTCACCAACTTTGGTGGGTGGGGTGAATTGCTTGAGCCCAGGAGTTGGGCAATAGTGTGAGATCCCCTAATTAATTAACTAAAAATGGAATTACAGAGTATTTATTCCTTTGACTGGCTTCTTTGGTTCAACATAATGGTTGTAGAAGCACATGTTGTTGCAATTGGCAGGGTTTCTTTCTCATTGCTGTGTAGCATTCCAAAGTGTGATTATACTAAAAGTCATCTGTTTTCCTCTTGATGGATATTTAGGCTCTAGCCAGTTGTTAGCTAGTATGAGTATGTTTGTGTATCCTATGTGTCTTTTGGTTCACAATTCAACGGACATCTGTTTTGCATAAACCTAGAATTGGTAGGTCACAGGGTACACATGCAATCAGCTGTACTGGGTCCTGCCAATCCATCCCAAAATGGCTTTAACAATTTATACACACACTATAGAGTATAAAGGCTCTGCTTTCTTTGCATGCTTGCCCAAATTGGATGTTACTGGATATTTGGGTATGATTTTAATTGTAGCCATTCTGGTAGGCATGTCATAGTAGCTGGCTAGGGTTTAATTTGTACCTCTCTAGAGAGGAGGGATGTTGAGCACGGTTTCATATGGTTCGTGGTCAGCTGGACATCCTCACTTACTAAGTGCCTATTCAGAGTGAACAAAGTGGATAAATGTCTGCAGATATTTTAAATTTTTTTTTCCATATATAAAAAATTAACCTCAACCCTTTATTTCCATACATGAAAATAACTTGAAGGGATCTACGAACCTAAATATGAAAGTCTAAAAGTATAAAACTTTAAGAAGAAATTATAAGGGAAAATGTTTATGAATT